GGGTTTCTCAATTAAAACAATAACAATAGGCAGAGTTTGGATGTTTTGTGAAGTAGTGGGATCATGGTTGTCATCGCCACCATTTCCACAATTCACTAAGCTCTCTTCGTCGTAAATAAAGCAGATTCAAGTTTATGTTTTTCTGACTCAATATCCAGAAGTTTGATGGCTTAAATCCGACCCTTGCCTAAAATAGAAAATAGAGAACGACCGAAATTTAAAAAGTGCCAAAACTGGATAAAAAGTGCAATTATGATACAATCAGAACATTGACATAAGGGGATATGTTGCTATTACCGGAGAACAAATGAAACATGGACATATGGAAATGTGGATTTCTCAATAAAATACAAACAAACATCCAGTAGTTCTTAGACATTTGAATGCAGAAATGTTACATGTTATGACTAATATAAATGTTTATTGTGTTGGGTTCACCTTTCACAGACGTCCCCGATGGAGGACAGCAGGTCCCTGACGCTGCGGCCGACCTGAGAGTCTGACCCCGAGGACAATCTGCTGTCCTCTGTCCTCACAGGGAGACGGATCCTCTGCAGCTGCCCTCTGACAGACAGACCCAGCAGCTCCACCACACCTGGAGCTATAAGGCACAAATAATCAGGTTAGAGTCACAGGTTAAATGGAAAGAAGGGTTAATGTCTGCTGCGGACTTGATGCACGCAATCAATATGAAATGTAACACCTTTTCTGGTTTAAGACATTATCACTACTTTACTTTGACTACTGTGTGAAGGGTTCCTACACCTTCTTAAACAATAAATCCAAGGTATTTTATTAATGGCTTTGGAGGCCAAATTTCGACAAAGTCATGGACCCTCATGAATTCAGCAAAGACATAGTATGAGACACAGATCAAGGTTATTTATTTTTACAACACTGAGCATTTTTACAATGAGAAATGGCAGCCTTGAATGCGTGAAGACTTCTCAACTGTGCTGTAACAGTGATGGCAGAATTAAAAGTACTTACATTTCAAAGATGAATGTCTATTTCCAAACACCTTCAAAGCCTTAATTCTTCCCCTTTAATTCAAGAATGTTCTGTATGGAAAGTCAACTCTCACGCGGAGACCGCAAATCAAACACTGTGAACCTTATGTCTCCATTCTTTTCTCATGAATTATTTCAAGTCACCTCTCTGTGAAAAGATGCTGGGAGCTTTGTGATTTATTTTACCGTTAAAAAAATGTGTTGAGCAGCTGCCTCAGTTCAAAATGTGACACCTAACGAAACCATAAAATATCTAATGCGTAACACGCGATTTTCATTTCAACTGAGAGACATTGGTAATTGGTTGACACACTTTTAATGAAAGGCCTGTTTACCTGCAGTGTTGCATGTCGGCGGGGCCAAAGCGACGACTCGACACACATTTAAACTGGTGGGGCTTTGGAGGGCAGCGTCCATCTTTCTGCGTGTTTCCTCATCCTTTCCTTGGCCTTCCTCTCCAGATGTCCCCTCTGATAGATCCAGTAGCAGCAGGTCTGACCCAGTGCTGTAGTAAAGAGTGTTTTTATCCACACAGCCACACACCACAGGCCCCGGTACACACCCCTCAATAAAAACCTTCCCTCTTCCCTCTGCTGACCCTCCTTTGTCGGCTTTCATCAGCACCACCCTCCCCAGTTCACCCACTGCCACCAAACACTGTCCTGGACCCGATGATCCGACAAATACGACGGGCTGCTCCAGGCTGTGCAGGACTCGGAGCCTCGATCCTGGGAGACGCAGAGGGACGAAACACACGCACCCGTCTGGAAGGCCGCACAGGATAACGGGGGATTTGGCGAGGGCGACATCGACCCCAAAAAGAAGTTTGAAGAGGACTGAATCGAGGTGAAAATGGCCCTGATTTGGAGCTTCATCTGATGAGGAATTAGAGGAGGAGGACGATGGGGTTGCATCACTTGAATGAACACAAATCAGCACCGGACTTCGTCTTATTTCTGTTTTTTCCTCAGTGTTTACATCTCCTGAGACCTGACTGAAAGAGCTGAGCTTCTCGTAGTTTGAGGACTTGTATAGAGTCAACATCCAGGATGCGTCTCTTTGGGAAAGAGTCACTAGCACGGAGCCGACGAGGAGCAGCGATAACACTCCTTCCTCTGCAACGACCAGAGACTCAGAGGAGATTTTCAGCTCAGATGGACCAGAGGATGCATCAGCTGGGGAGCCTTTAACCCTGCGGGGGGGGGGGGGGGGTATGTATTTCTTGTATTTAAGAGGCATTGACAGGTTTTAATTTAACACGATATAGAACATATGGATTATCTGTGAACTAGAAGAGAGGTGTTTATAGTGGGAGGCAGGCCTTTCCCAGAGGGGGGCTGGACATTATTTTATAGGAGGCTCAGTGAAACAATATGAAATGAATTATCAAAAGAAGATCACATAAAGTAGCCCAAATGTGTGAGATTTAATTAAAGACATGTTTAAAAGATACAGAGGTTTGTGGAGATGTACTGTTCTCTAACTTTCCCAGAGTGAGAAGCTATTAAATGCCTTATGAGCGACATTTTTATTTATTTTGTGTAGTCTGAAGTGATAGATGGTCAAAACAATGCAACAAAAACAAAATATTTATATGCAAGACTTTTAAAGGTTTGGCTTAATTGAAGAGTATTCTTGGTAGTGTGTATCCTGATGGTTTACTACACTTGTTGTATGTTGTTTTGGATAAAAGCATCAGCTAAATGAAATCTAATATTGGAAAAAATCTTAGGCTATCTTGGGTCGACTATTGGGTCTCTATGGGATCAATTAAATAATAATGAGGCCATTTGATTTGGGGGTTATCCTAACTTTGTCTGAGGGAAGCCCACTTAAAAGCCCTGATTTAAAGGAACATACTATTGTACTGCGGTAACATTGGAGCACCTTTTTGTGGGTCCATACCTGGATAGCAGAAGTTGTGAACTGACACAATAGACTCCGCTCCTACAGGCTACATAGAGGCGCTGCTTATCATGACTCACAACCAGGTCAGTCACAGGACCAGGACACTGGAGGACAGCCTGGAAAAACACATCATAAGAGAATCAAACACAGAAAATGTGGACGTAAAGTTATCTTTAGATATCTAGATTTGCAAGTCCGCCTGTCAGTGTAAAGCATATGGTGGTGGACAGTTATTTAGTAATGTACTTGACTGGATATATCCATTTTCTGCTTCTTCACTACAAATCAGAGAGAAATACTGTTGTTTTTACTCACCTACATTTGTTTGATAACTTTGCAGAATCAGATTCAGATTAATAGTCCAATTCATAACGAAAAAATTATGTATTATGTACTTTTAAAGGTTTAAAATAGCTTTGATCCCTCAAAGAAATTCACAAGCTAATATGAAGGTACAAAAAAGCTCATTCTTTACCAGCTGCACACATTGATGAACACGTTAATGTCAATACATAAATAAACAATAATATTAAATGTTTTAATGGGACAGTGTGCAGAATGAGTACTTTTACTTATTGTAGGCACATTTTGACGCTTATTCTTTTAATGAAGATATTTTGAATGCAGGACATTTACTTGTAGAAGAGTATTTCTACACTGAGACATTGCTACTTTTATTTAAGTTTAAGTACTTTGTCCACCACTGAAAGTACATGAGTTATTTACCTTGAGTTTCCTCTCCTGAGTGCTGAAAACATAAGCCTCGTCGCTTCCAGTGCAGAGGAGCACATCTGTCCCGAAACCACAACTGATCCTGGGTGTGCACGAGGTTCCTGCAAAGCCAAACTCTGCAAAAGTCTCCACAGCACACCGTCTGTCCATGGTCACACCACCGAAGAAGAAGAAACTGTAGTCCGCATTTGTAACGCTAGGTACTGTTGACACTGTTCATTTAGTGAGTGATAATAAAGGGTAAAATTGTTGTAAAATGGACAAGGTCCTCCAGTCCTCCTGAACCGGTTGTTGATAGAGGAAGGGAAGCCCCTCACAGAATTCCGCGCGTCGCGTTTTGGACCAATGAGAGCAAAGAACTACATTACCCATGAAATATAAGCGGAAATGTGACGTTTCTATTTCTTTTTAATGTATTTTATTTTAGCAGACTCTTAGGTTTATTCAGAAAAGGCGCTGAAGATAAAAACAAATCCGACCTATAAAATGCTAGCAAAAATACATTAAAAATAATGACGTTTTTTAAGCCAATTCTAGAAGTCATTTGAATAAATGAAGACAACAAAAAAACAACAATGTGGTGTTGTCGTATCCACAGAATACAAGGCTACCAAGCAAAACAACAGTGTGTGAAAGATGCACAGACACATACATTAATAAATATATACATGTAAGTGAAAATAAATGTAGAAATACATGAAAGATAAATAATGTGTGTTCTGTTTTATTCTCAACTTTTATTTTTTAATTTATACATTTCTTTCCATATTTATTGATTTATTGTCGTATTTTTGTATTCCTGTATTTCTTCCTGTATTTATGCATTTATTAATTGTTATGTTCTGTCCTCCATACCTGTGTGCTCGTTATGTGCATAAAGGTACAAATTCACTCCAAATCACATCACAATAACACTTAGTGTATAGTTCATTGTTTTTAAAAACACATTGGTGGGACAGAGGTCTATGCATTGGTTTTGTATGCAGGTGCTCGAGGTTTAACACCCAGGGGAGGGACATCGTTTGTCTTCTGCTTTGCTGATTTAAATCTGGAGAAATTGTCCCCATCACTGTTTCTAACACAAAGACCCTGAACATAAAAGTAATCTTATAATACGAAAAGTGAAGATGATGTAGGATTCACATGTATTTATGAATGTATGGAAGGTGGGAGAAATGTCTTCCAAAATCTATTTATTTAAAAGTAATGAGTTATTTTTTGTCAAAGTTCAGCTCCAGTAAAGGTTTACGGTAAATGCTTCACACTGACCACTGGGTGGCGGACCTGTGGATTTATTTTCGCGTTGATCCACGAAGAAGAAATCCGCCAATCAAAACTGTCGAAGCGAATTTCGCCAAAATTTGAAATCACCCTCCGCTCTGTGGTTTTAGCTGTTGGAAACATTCTGGTTGAAACTAAAGTTGTTTGACGTCTATTTTAACTATACAATGGAACCGCTTAGCAAAGACTCCATCAAAATGTACTCTTATGAGAACAGACTGAAAACTTTCGAGGGGTGGCCGTTTGAAGAAAACTGTTCGTGTACGCCGGAAAACGTGAGTAAAAACGGTTGATCCTGATAACAATGCTAACAGCTAACACAACAACAACTAGCTGTAGCTACATTTAAAAACATGCTAATAATGGAATTAAATACCCTGGGTTTAATCGACCTGCAGGTTAACCGACAATAAATAATCCCTCTTGACTTTTGCTTTAATTTAGAGTAACGTTGGCGTTGTCATTACTTACAAAGGTGATATAAAGGTAATGCTACGTTAAGAGTTAACACAACGTTTTGCAATAGCATAAGCAAAGGTTTAACGTATGTAGGATAGATATGTGCCAAATGGAAAATAAGTGGTTGTTGCTCAAAATAAAGGTCGCGATAATTTGACGAACAGGTTATTTTCTAAGTACTCATTTAAGCATAGAAGTAGGAAATGGTCTATGTGTTTGGTTTGTGAAGCATTCTGAGTTACCTTTTTCAATGAAAAGTGTTAAATTAAGCATGATTTGATTTCAATACCCGTTTACCCTGAAACTCAGACACATCATTTGGCTAGATGCCACTGATTTTTTGTTAGTATAGGCTACCTAACTAGGGCTGCAGCGCATATTATTTTCATTGTTTCATTTCCTAGTTGTGTTTTCAAGGAATGGGTTAACCATTCCCAGGGACCTTTGTGACATCTTCACACAGCTTGTTTGTTTCTTTTCTAAACCCAAATATACTACATTTACAAAGAGAAACCCTTGCATTTAAACATTTTTGAATACTTCAGCGAACCATTCATTTAAAGGTGGGGTAGGTAAGTTTGAGAAACCGGCTCGAGATACACTTTTTGTTATATTCCATGGAATGCTCTTAACATCCCGATAGCAATGAATATCTTAAGTGCTTTGACAAAAAATCCATTAAAAAATGTCATCTGTGGAAGCCGTAGCACTGTAAAAAGCACGACCAATCATTTTATAAGGATAAAGATAAGGAGGAAGGACAATCAATACTGTATATAGTAAATGTGAGGTAGTGTGTCGCCAATGTAACCGGTTAGAACTTGAAGTGGCGATGAGGTCTTAAAATGTATGGAAAGGGTCTTAAAAAAGGTCTTACATTTGACTTCAGGATTCCTGCATATACCCTGAATGTGGTCTGTTTCTTCCATTGTTTCCCCAGATGGCCAAAGCTGGCTTCATACACACTCCTTCAGATAACTGCCCGGACATCGCCATGTGTTTCTTCTGCCTCAAAGAGCTGGAGGGCTGGGAGCCAGACGATGACCCAGAGTACGATGATCACATTACTAAACGTACTGCTCAGAGAACAACCATGGATTCAATATTAGTCTAACTCATCACTCTTTTGTTTTTGTTGCCAGAAAGGAGCACAAATCTCATTCGGCAGCCTGCCAGTTCATCGCTTTGAAGAAGAAAGTAGAAGAGCTGAACGTGGAGGAATTCCTTAAACTACATAGGGAGAAGCAAAAGTTCCAGATTGTACGTTTTAGATACAACTATGTTACTGCCAACGTTCTTCTCCGATCTGTTTTTCTTACTTTTTGTTACGCATTTTAAAAACTACACACAATTACTTATCCAGATTTTATTTCCTTCCTTCCCTCAAAGATAAAATCCAGTAAGGACGACTTCACCAAATTTGAAGGGGCAGTCAAACAGAGACGAGCAGAACTCATTAAGACGGCCAAGGGGGAGGAGTGACACGATGACGGATGCAGATGAATGAGAAGATTAGTTGTAGCTGGCTGACTTGATTGATATCCGAGATTCCTTGATGTCTTCTTTGTAACTGTCATATTTTATGTAGTCTTTTTTTTATCAGATTTTAATCAATAAACATGTTCTTTCTACCTTCATTTATGTATCAGGGTTCTTACAGTCATTAAAAACCTGGAAAAGTCATGGGAATTCAAAAAGCTAATTCCAGGCCCTGGAAAAGTTATGGAAAACAATATTTTTCCCAAAGTTTTGGAAAAGTCATGGAAATGTAACTAAAGTTGCATCAAATATAATTTATATTTTATCTAATCGACGAAATAGTAATACTATAATGATAATAAATACTATCTTATAGTAATGAAAAGTAAAATGGCATTTAACTGACGAGGTATTTTGCTGGTGAGAGATTTGAGTTGCTTTAGTCTGTAGAAGCTAGTAAGCCTACTATTTTATTTGTTTTAGATAGGCACAACATGTTTCATATGCAGACCTTATTTTCCTGTTCCATGTTAAAATAAACCATTTTCAGTGGTACTGCTGGGAGTAATTTTTTTGGTCATGGAAAATTAAGTAACGGTCATGGAGAAGTCGTTCAATAAGTATGAACCCTGATGTATGTATTATCTCACTGGGTTATTCCTGGTTCAATATAGGTTTGACAAAAACTTGATTCTGATGTTAAATGCTGAAATGAGCCATCTGCGTCTGAGCATGTGTAAAACTGGCTTTATTTTAAGTCATATTTACTGTTAAAATATGATATGATTGAATTTGATCTGTCCAGTGATGCTCGTTAACAACCCAATATACGTTTTTACAAATACGTTTCCTTTATAATGACATGATACCGCAAGCTTGGAAAGCATAGGAACATCATGGTTACACTACTATGATATTGTCATACTTAGACTAGGTAACTAATAAGTAAGTGTAACGGTAAACCTGCTGACTAATGTTTCCACATATTCCCTTATGATTGTCTTGCGTAAACGTGTGCGCCTCCGGATAAATCAAGTCCCTCCCAGAGAAGAAGAAGCTGTTGTTCGCGCATCTCTCTCACTTCATCATTCAGTCCGGGGTTAGTTCATCTCCATCCTGCAGATCTATCCCGGACAGAACACATTTTGGATAACCTTTTATATTATGGGGACTTATTGCGCTTCGACAATTAAAAGATTGGATCACCACTGAAAGAACATCTGCGTTACGCGCGAGTTAATCCCGTAACCGTTTTACGCGTGAAGTGATCCTCACCTGCGGGAGGATGAAGGTGACTCTCGGCTCTCTGGTGATCACAGCCGGGATCTGCGGACTGCTGAGCTTCGCTTTCCTGGCCACTTCCCTCGGAACGCAGTACTGGTACATCATAGAGATGAATCCCATGAATGTGAGTGACTTTGAGGACATGAGCTCCCACTCGGGACTGTGGAGCATCAACGAAGGTAATAACTCTCTCTTTTTGTTATTGACATTAGTGCGCTATATTTGGGAGCATGAGTGGGGGTGAAATATAATTGAATGACAACCATTTTCCTTATCTCTGTTGGACTCCAATGTATTTGTTTCAGGCTTTCTAGTGATGGAGTACATTTGACAATATGTATATATGACTGAAGTGCTTTTTTTTATTGTGACTACAGGTGAGAAGAACGTAGACTCCATTGACTCTTTCACAGCTGACGAGTCCAGATACTCTGAGACTGAGCTGCACATGCTGAGTGAGTCTCCTTCATCTGAATAATGTTTTAATGAAACACTAATAAGTCATTCACAGTGAGATTGAAATGAAGAATTAATGAAAAACACATGAGCAGAGATGAATGGTATGGAGGCTACTTGTACTGTACTTCTATCCAATTTGAAATCCTGTAATGTTTTCTTGAATGCAATAATATCTCTTGGTTCCAATAATCACACTACCTCATGTATTACGCCAGGAATTAAAAGTATTATGTCCTAATATGTTGGCTATTCTGACACACAGTGCTTTGCACAGCTGATATATGAGCAACACAATCTAACTTTAAGGTGCATTTGATGACTTGTATGTCCCAGTTGTATGCATGCAATATGTACTTAGTTAGGGCCCCTGTAGAACATATTCAAAGTTAAAGTGTGTTTCCAAAATTCTTCAAACCTCCTCCATCTTGGATAAAACCCTGTGGTTCAAATAATCACCGATAAGGATATTGCATTGTCCACACATGCATAACTCAACACATGCTTCATTATACACCTGTTTGTGTGCATGTGTGTGTCTGCAGGTATGCACGGTGCCATCGTGGTGGTGCTCCCCATCAGCCTGCTGCTGCTGCTGTTTGGCGGGATCTGTGGGCTGGTCAGCTCTCTAGCCCGGAGCCCCCTCCTCCTCACCGGCACCGCCGCCTACTTCTTCATCTGCAGTGAGTCCAGCTCCAGTTTCCTCCACATTTACATTTAAGTACTGTACTTACATTTACTTGAGTATTTTCCATTTTATGCTTCTTAATACTTCTACTCCACTACATTCTGGAAGCTAATATTGTACTTAGGACTCCACTACATTTATCTGACAGCTTTAGTTACTTTACAGATTTAGTTTTGAGCTAATACAGAATGTAAATCAACAGTGACATTATTATTTATAGGGTAAGACATCCAGCAGCAGTATAGTAATTCAAATTAGCTTCACATTTACAAGCATTGATGAACATAGAGCATCAATAGTCATATTCCAGTAATATAGATGACGCTGTAATGAGTCATAATGCATAACAAATGCTCTTATTTTTGTTACTTAAGTGTATTTAAATACAATAGTTTTGTACTCTAACATTAATCAGACTATGAATGCTGGACTATACTTGTAATGGAGTTTTTTTTTTATTTAATATTTCTAATTGTACTATCTAGATCTACTTCTTCCATGACTGGCTCCCAAATCTGCAGATGTGTTTCATGCACCCGCTGAGATATGTTGCCATCAATTCCAAATAGAGCAATTAAATAAAAAAATGCAAGGCTTTGCACTCAAGATGAATCACAGCTACTATTACTACTATTACTACTGCCACTACATCAAAGAGCTTCAGAAGCCCGAGTAGGAAGTCCCCATGTGAACTGTATGGACAAAGCTCTCTCACAAATACTGCGCCTGGGATTTTCTTTTTATCTAGAAGACAGTGCTGCTTTTATATGGCCCAACTATTGAAATTACACATTGTGGAAGAGATGGTGTTAATAAAAATGACACCATATATCACATTAAGTGCAAGAAAGAGAGTCATTCTGCTTTGGATCATTTACCTCAGCGTTAAATAAAGCCGCAGCCATTATGTGCCAGTATAAAGCAGTCAATTGTCGTGACACACGTTGTTAATGATCTTTGCACTCAAATGGCACTGTGCAGGGAACAGGATACCTCAGAAGTGTTTCTGTGCTCTCACACCTTTTCCACAACAGCATTTTCCTGACATACATGCAGTGTGACAATGAGACCAGTGCATGAGAAGTACTCCTAAAAATTATCCTTATTTGGGCTTTTCCATGGCAAAAAACCTTTAAATCAAAGCATATTTGAACGGCAACAGTTAAATAATAGATAATGACACATATACATAATATGTATGTCCCTTTGTAAGAAGAACAGAGGCAGAATACTCAGAAATAAGATTAAAGGAGCACAGAAAAGATGTATTTATGCTTGTGTTTTGGGTGAGATTAGAACACGGTCACGATCAATGCGGTGTGTTTTATTCGGTATTTAACTCACTGTTGGTTTTATAGAAGAACGCTGTGCAGGGTTTGTTGGACTATATAAGGCTGGAGTTGGAATTAGAGCAAGCCATGATGGTTAATTTGTGCAGACGGGAACACATTATGTGCAGGGCTGTGTGAAACCGACCTTCTGTATAGTTATTGACCTCATGAGGCCAAACGAACTGACTGAGTGTGTTATTACAATAAAGACTGATTGGCTGTTTGATTCGGCCATATTGGTTAAGCATGCATGAACGGGCAGGTGTGTGTGTGTGTGTGTGTGTGTGTGTGTGTGTGTGTGTGTGTGTGTGTGTGTGTGTGTGTGTGTGTGTGTGTGTGTGTGTGTGTGTGTGTGTGTGTGTGTGTGTGTGTGTGTGTGTGTGTGTGTGTGTGTGTGTGTGTGTGTGTGTGTGTGTGTGTGTGTGTGTGTGTTTGTGCGTGTGTAAGCGTGTGTGTCTTGTTGTTGTTAGAAGCCTTCCTTCACTCCCCGTATGGGTTAGGAGAGATTTTATTGGTCTGTGGAGAGATGTAACAGAGGTCTTTATTTTCTATGTTTTCTATATACACGGCCCTGCATGTTAAATCAGAACAGTGACCATGTTTCACATTAATTATCTAGACTGTGGCTGTAATCTCATTTTCATTTACAAAGGAAGTCCCAACATTCTTTCCACATTGGAAATACATGGAAACATGATGTATAAAGAAAATAAATACACAAAAACAACACTATGCTCTCACAACCAGTGGCTGTTCTGGACTAATTGTACTAGGGGGGGGGGGCAATAATTTAATAAGAGGGGCACATTTAATGTAGATTTTAACATTTTGAGTTTAGTATAAAGTAAAAAAAGCAACATAAAATACCATTATTGATGTTTGATTTAGTAACAGAGATTGTTTCATGACTTTGTTACAATTAACTTGTTTTTTTTATTAGCTTTGGCCCAAGATACAAAACATTAAAAGAACATGGGGTAATAAATGCATTATTTATGCAGCCAAACGTTGTTTTTATTTTATTTCTTAACATTTGTTTCAGTAACTTAGTTTCAATTTATTAAATTACATTACTGAAAAGAAATCCCTGTTAACTTTGGCCCCGCTTACAGCACAGTAACCTTGTTTATCTATACAACTTGTGTGTTTAGCTATATTGGATTAGGAGCACACCATTATTAATCAGAAATTGGTAAGAAGAGCACACACTTTTCCTTTCCTCTAACTTCTTAATTTTGCTCCCAAAGTGCATACAATAGCCCACTGCTCCTAGTACTAGACTCCTGGTCCTGGTACTAGGATGGGTTAAAAGCAGAGAACACATTTCACTGTGTGTGCTGTGTGCTCTGCATGTGTGACCATTAAAGAGGGTTTCATCCCTCCGATATCTATCTAATTAATTCAACTTAATTTAAATTGTACGTCATTTTCTTAGATGTGGCAAAGTAGATTTGCATCAGAAAAAATGGCAATCAAAATGTGCGTCTCTCTAATGTTCTGTATGTTAAAGGGGACCTATCATGCAAAATGCACTTTTTCATGTATTTTATTCATAAATATGTGTCCCCGGTGTGTCAGGGAACACACGCAGCGTCAGAAAATAAAACCCTCTCTCTTTTCCTCTGTACCCAAATCTCTAAAAACGGGGCTACAACGGAGCTGTTCCAGATTTGCGTCCGATATGACGTAATATCGGAAATGTAGGCTGGCTTTACACCCACGGCCCTATCAGAAACGCTGCGATCAGAAACAATGCCCGACTGTTTTGGACGTAATATGGTCGGTGTTTACATTAGCATCGCTAACACTCAGAGCTAACCTGTACTGGAGAGCATGTGTGTGAAGAAATGAAAAGGAACTCACCTTGTGGTATAACCGGCAAGAGAGAAAGCCTTTGAGCTCCATACTGTTTCAGAAATAATCCTTGATAATCCATGATATGGCGTTTCATCACGGCAGTATTTAGTTTAGACAGTAGCTGAGGGTCCCGCATGAGCTCAGCCCCCTCCTTTTTTTTATTTTGTATCAATTCTTTTTTTTTTAAAGCTTTATACATACAATCAGCACTTTTGAAACAGGAAGTGAAATAGAGGGATATGAGGCATGGCTAGAATGGGTGATCTGTTTGGTATTTTGAGCAAAACACTTCATAGTCATGTTTTTTATATATTTGTATATATCTGAGACCTATGCTATTGCCTAAAAATAGCATGATAGGTGCACTTTAAATCATGCCATCTTTACATGGACTGCACATGCTGGAACATACACTCGTAGGTTATGGAATATTTGCCTTGATTTCAACTTAACAACAAGGGAAATACTTGAAATCTCTTAAAATGTGTCCATTAAAAAAGGGTAGTTGGCCATGTGGTTAAAATCACTATCACATCTCTTTTTTTTAAATTGATGCAACGCTCTCACACGTGAAATAAGCAACAGAAAATGTAAAGAGAATATTAAAGCATTTTTCAAATAAATTGTCTTTATTGATCCTGTGATATTCTCCTCTCATTTGAAAGCCAGGAACACAGAAACTGTTGAGATGCAGACCTGTAAAAAGCTGTCTCTTCATACATCAGATTCTCTGTTAATGTGCTCTATGCAAGGGTTAATTGAGATTCAGACAAAGGCACTTTCTGATTGGATTTGTACATGTATTGTATCAGTAATTGATTCTGTCTAAATACTAACATGAAGGAGATTTTGGTTTGTAACTGCTGCACATGTCAAACACCTCAAATGATCTTACTGCACGATGTAACACCTTTCATTATTGGAAATATTCACGAGGTGTTTGAGATACAGCGGAGAAAACCAGTATCCATTAAGACACATTTAAAAGAGCTGAGAGAACCTTCTACTGAGAGCAAAACAAACCCTTTAAGGGCGACTGTGGCTGCGAGGGAGTGCGGTCGTCTTTCAACCAGAAGGTTGTGGGTTCGATCCCAGCTCATGCAGTCAACATGTCGATGTATCCTTGGGCAAGATACTTAACCCTGAGTTGCTCCCGATGGCATGGCCAACGGTGTGTGAATGTGTATGAATGTTAGTTCCTAGAGTAAGGTACACTGCTCTGTATGAATGGGTGTGAATGGGTGAATGACATGTAGTATGTAAAGCGCTTTGAGGGGTCGTAGAGACTGGATAAAGCGCTATATAAGTACAGTCCATTTAAGAATAATGAATCTGAACCGGGTTATAAGATGTAAATCAGGGTCCTTGTCAGATTGGAGCAATTAAGTAAATAGATTACTCATCTTCCAAATGTTGCCTAATTACAAACGAGGTGTGTTTTGAGTCCATGACTTATAAACAGGAAAACATGAATGAAAAATGAAAAAAGAGAACCATAGTTTGTAGTTATTGACAAATGATATTTATTTCTACCTGTTGCTTCCTTATTCCATTCTTTAAATAAGAAAAACCCAATTAAATGTTACTTTGAAGTTTGGATTTTAATTTAAAGAAATATATAATATAGATAGTTTTGTTAAATCTCATGCTGGATAAGACCACCGAGGAAGACCTTAACGAAAGCTGCTTTTTAACAAGCCCTGTCCTTCATTCGAAATATATAATAATACCATAAATGTCAAAATAACCACAGAAGTGAAATAATAATAGCCAAGCATAAAGGAGAAGAAAATGTTAATTATGTCAAATGATGCTTTAAAAAACAATACAGCGAGGGAATTTATTTAATTGGTATCACTGTTACTTGCCACTGTTATTGTAATACATTAAATATAATATGAAATCTCCATAATATATGTCACTTATGGCGCATTTCCACTACAGCGCGGTTTAAGCGTGCCGTGCCGTGCCCGGCCCGTTTTTGGTTGCGTTTCCACTAGGCGTAGTTCCGGCTAGCGGGTACTTTTTCACAGTTTTCTGGCTCTCCAAAATCGAGGTTCTTTCCGGGCCAACAGCCGGGCTGAGTATGCTAAACTAGTGAGAGAATCGCTGGCAACTACAACAAAATGAACATATTTTACCGTGATTTAATTGTAATACACGTTTCAAAATGATGCCGAAGTAACAACATACTGATACCGGTTAGTAAAAACCATGAATTAATGCTTTGACAAGTCTGCAGACAGACGGCAGGCGAAAAACCTTTTAAAATGCGTGTTTTCTAAATGGAGATTGGCTAAGCTAACGCAATATATGCTCCGACCGTCCACACTCACAACAATGGCCTATACAGACATAAATAAACCAGCGACTGTATTCTCCATGACACAGACAGTCTGTGGTTTGTACTTGTTTAACTTTTGTCTAGTTTCTGAACAGATATGAGGAGCTGTGAGCTCTGAGGGCTAACAGCTAACGGCTGATGTTGGTTTTGTGTTTCGCATTGAAGATGACGTCACGGCTCCGCCTACACTGCGTTACTATAGTTACTACCCCAGTTCCTAAACTGTACGGGAAACGCAGCATAAAGTGAGCCTGGCCTACCAAGGCCTAACTATACCGTACTAAGCCGAGCGAGGCCCTGCAGTGGAATAGCGCCATTAGTCTGTTTACTCAATGATAGAAAAGGTTGGGAACCGCTGCTGTTGGCTACCACACACCCAACTTGATAATTATTTAACCTAGAAACCAATGATATGAATGTGTGAGAGTTAGATTACCGTTAAGCACGTTAACACTATTATATTAACCTGGGTATTTACAGTAATCAGGTTATTGGTGAGCACAAACACGAAGTGCCTGAGCTCTTCTCTTATGACCTCGATAAAGAAGACCTTGTGATGGCTGACACTTAAAAAGACCCTTTATATTCTCACTGTAATCAGCAGCACATGGCGATGTGTGGAAGGGAATAAAGACTTTAATTAGATTGGGCTTGACTCGTGAACTTGTTGACTGTCCGACTTTTAAAATATGAATAAGAAGTGTCAGAATCATAATAGATGTTGCTGTGTCAGAGTAAATTCAGTTAGATTTAACCCTAACCCGGAGGCTGGGGGCAATAGGGCTGAAGAGCTTAAATAAAATAATCAATTCAATTATATAAAAATTGAATACCAGAGTGTTTACCGAGTGTGCCATCAGTCAGGATGTAGGGTTGGAAGAGTTATTTGTATTCCCTTAAAATGACTAATTACCTGTAAAAACACGTTAAGCACACATTGTTGTTTAAAGGGCCCTATCATGCTCACTTTCAGGTTCATATATGTATTTTGTGCCCCTTCTGTGACATGTTTCCATGTTGAGCTTTGGGATTTTAGCCTTTGCAGACCATTTACATGCACAGAAACCTAAATAACACACTACAGGAAAGGGAACACCCCTTAAAGCATGACAGGGCCCCTTTAACAAACCAGGTGTCAACTTACTGCATTTAAAAAGAATGAAGAAAGCCTTTCATTTATCTGTAAATGCTTCTCTAAATCTGATCTCCTTGAATAGTGACAGTATTTCAGAATGAACAGCTGGCACTGAACGATAATGGTGTTCCTCTTTTCCCCTTAAAAAAATGTTTTCCCTGTTAGCTGTAACTCCCCAAGCGTATATACAGTATACACACATAAATGTGTATACATATAACATTTAAATGATCTTTTAATTGCTTTGTTCTAATGTTGCAGCTTCTTTCCTCTCCAAGCATTAAACAGCCTGATGGGTATTAGCCTGACTCCCTGCAGGGCCGTTCCTCTGCCTCCTCTCCACTTCCTCTTCCTCTCAATTCATATTCTGAGGAAGTTAAGGTTCCCTCTGGAAATGAGAACATTTACCAAGTCATGTTCAAACCAGAACAGGATGTGATGTCATGTTGTGTAGCTAAACAGCACACGTTTCTGTTATCATGCCGTCTGTTGTCTCTCTGTAAAGCTAACTTTGGCTAATAGCCACTATACACAAAGTAAGATAAGATAAGATACGATGTTATTCATCCCGAAGGAAATTGAATTGCCAGAGTTACAAAAATACAATAAACACAAAAGCATAAGTACATTAATTTATTCTTTTTATGGGTTAATATTCAACATTATTTCAAGAATTGGACAACTGAAGATGTTGACCTGATGATGATATTAGAGGGACATCTCCAAAAAGTATTATTAAACATCAATGTTAACATGCAACAAAATGTCATTTCAATCCATGTAATTTCACTTTGAACCCACATGCATACCTCTTGCATTAAAAGTCAGGGGATGACCGAAGTACTAAGGATTTATCCTCTGGAGAACATGAATGTCTAATTTATGTCAATAATGGTTTAATAGCCTGGACCAAAGAAGTGGACAGGCAGACGGATACATCGAGTAATACCTCAGTAAAAACAGTCAGAAAACGATTGAAAATCAAGGATAAAAATACAAAGATTAAAAATCTTCACAATCTTTCAATCAATTACTAAAATGTTTTCTGATCAAATCTTCCACAAATGGCTGAAATCCCTTTTAGTTGTGGGTGTAGTTGTCCTGTCTGTACAACGTGAGGCAGTTTCTGTCTCTGTGTTTCTCTGCATAGAAATGAGACCTCAGATGCAGCTTCCTCCTTGTTCTCTGAGCTAGAAGCACCTTGGGGTGTAATCGTAATAAAAGGATTATTAGTCCCACCCTGGGTAGCCTCTGCGCTTCACTTGCATCTCCTTAAAACCAGTAGCGAGTCGTTAAAATTAAAAGGGTTTCCAATAGCAACACTATGAAAGTGGTGAGGACAGTATGGCTTTGTGCGTGTCTGAATCAAGTCTCTGATGAGCAGGATGTTGAGTAAGCAGTCAGCACGCACGTCATTATATTTCCTGTCTGTCACAAAATGAGATTTTGGGAAGCTAATGGCAGCATGTTATTGTGGGTTTAATTGATAAGCTCTCAGCACGCAGCTCTGACTGGTACAAATATCCGCTTTATAATTTGCTGGAGTACAATGCCAGCTTGAACATTGCCTTAAAGGGACAGTTTACCCCCAAATCAAAAATTGATATTCTCCCTCTGACCATCAGGATGGTCAACAAACAACATTTAACAGCAATGTCTCTTTCAAGCAATCTTTATTATGTTACTCCACAGACCTTGTTGCTATCTGTTTCACCCAAAAATATTACAAAAACACACGTTTAAATCCGCCATCTCTCTCCTTCTGCGCAGTGATATGGTTGGCAGGTGTAGTCCTGTAGACAGAAAATAGTTCTTACACGTAACTGCTCACAACAAGGTCTGTGGATTATCTTGAGAAACAGTGTCATGATTTCTGGACACAGACATTTCTGTTGAGTTTTTTTCAAATGCACCACAAGCTCAGCACCACCTAGTTCCATTATGTTCAACACGAGGCAGACAAAAGCCAATATCTTTACCATTGGATAACTCACACTAAAACAATCTAGATTGATAAGAAAGCATTACAGGTGTGGTTTTTCATTTTGCGGTGAACCATCCCTTTTTTGTTTATTTCATGATTTCCAATTAAGAAATTGTCAGAATTATTAGGTAGTAAAACCCAGCACAGTTTTAAAGGTCCCCTATTATACAGTTTTTCATCAATATATTATAGGTCTCAGATATATACAAAACATGTCCCTGAAGTGTTTGTCTCCAAACACCAAACAGATCATTGCAGCATTACCCATAATCCCCTCTGTTTCAGCCCTGTTTCAAAAGTGCTGATTCTCTGTCTGTTACTTTAGTTACTTTAGCCCCTCTGAGAGATATTTGGTTAAAAAGAACACAATGGTGCTCTAGGAGGAGATTCAGGTGATAAGGTGGGGGGGGGGGGGGGTTACCTTGGTTGGTGATTGGCTAATCACTAAGCCAATGGCTAATGGTTACACAAGCCAAAACATCGTTATGACATCATAAAGTGGCCAAAATCTGATCAGCTCATTTTCAGACAGGTTTTTATATAAATGGATCAGGACAAAAAGAGAGAGAATCTTTGTTCCTGAAACTTTCAGAGTCTCTTTACACAGAGGGGACACATGTTGATGTATACAAGAGAGGAAAAAGTGGATTTTGCATAATAGGTGACCTTTAAGTCTTGTTTATTTTGAATGTGTGTCTCTGTGCAGGTCTGATGACCCTGTGTGGAGTGAGCCTCTACATTATCTACTCCTACCAGGCTCTGGCGGAGACGGAGAGGCTGGTGGGGGCGGAGGGTCTGGCCCACGTCCACACCTCCTTCGGCTGGTCTCTGGGTCTGGCCTGGCTATCCTACGGCCTGGAGCTGCTCACCGGGGTCCTGCTGCTGCTGGCTGCCAGGAGGGCCAAGCAGCAGTGCAGGAGTCCCGGAGCCTGACTCCTCCAGAGGATCCAACACCTCCAGGAGGGAAACTAGACTGATGGGTTACTGACATGTGGCTCTAAAGTTTATTAACAAGAAGCTGGACACTATGAAGGCTTTAAAGGAACACTAATGTTCAACTGGAGATGTTCTGACTGTTAAAGACTGTTTTATAAGGTTGATGTCCTCAAATCTGCTTTAAATGTGATAACTTGCGCCCTCTTGTGGTCTGATTTTAAGAAGTTCGAAGATAACTAGATAGGGAAGTGATATTGAGTAGAGAAAACATTTGAAATAAACAGTAAACTTATACAAATCAACAGTAAAAAGATGCACATCTATGGAGTAACTATAGTCAACAATATAACAAGAAATAAGTTATAATACACTTGTGCCAATCCATGCTTATTGTCACACTTTAGACATTCAATCTGTGCCAAATTAAACTGAGGATCTCAGAGTCTACATTTCTACACACATTCCCTCTCCACATGCTTAATCAGTATGTCTTTGAAGGTTTAAAGTGTTAGAAATGCCAAACCTGTGTTGTCTATATATTCACATTTTACTTCAATGTTTTTTCTACAAAAAATATATATCCATTTTGGTTCACCGTGCCTGCTGGTTAAAAATGTGACTGTTGTGCGGCTACTTATTGTCTGTATTTTGAGCCGATTGATCATTTAATGCTCCAAGTTTGTACTCTTTATTCAGTACTTTGGGATTGAACAGTGTCTGTATCTACAGTGTTTTTCTTTAGAATTGTATCCGTCTCAATTGTTAAATGTATTTCCTTGCGTGCAAGCAGCACTTGTGACTGGGGGATTTGACTTGAAGGCCAAAGGTAGTTTTGTTGTTTTACTGTTAGCACTGAGCAGAGAGGAAGACTGGATCCTGTTGCTGTCACTCATATCGGACAGGATCCTTTCAGAAAAACACAAATGCACATTATTGAACACTTTTCCCAGACGTTTCTAAGGCAACGTAAACATCCTGTCGGTCCTCACAAAGGATGGAAAGTGGGCGTGAGAGGAGATGTGTGCAGAAAACTGAAGATACAGGCTGTTTCTCAATGTCGAGTATACCTGCTGCAGAGCCACTATTTCAAGTATACTACGTCATCGAGTGGCGCCGAAGGACTGTTTAAATGCATGTTAAATGCCCAGCATTCGGCGCCACTCGATGACGTAGTATACTTGAAATAGTGGCTCTGCAGCAGGTATACTCGACATTGAGAAACGGCCTCAATGTAGTCATCGGATGAAACCATTCAGCTGTAGTCAAGGGGAAACAAGCACCAAGACATCGCAGTGCAAACAGAAGCTATATGTTGGTTTTCCAATAAACTATAAGCTGAACGTATCTCTGATTCCTCAAGCTTCTTAAAGGGGCCCTATCATTTCTTTGGGGGGGTTTCCCTTTCCTGTAGTGTGTTATAAAGGTTTGTGTGCATGTAAATGGTCTGCAAAGGCTACAATCTCTAAGTTCCAGACAGAAATTCCTCTATTGGACTCCTTTGTTTACTTCAAACATAGGGTTAGGGTTATTGGCTAGTGCTCCAACACATAGTACGTGATAGGCTAAGGGGCGGGACATCTCTAAGCGGTTGACCAATCACAACAAAGCCGGCCAGCTAACCAATCAGAGCAGACTGGGCTCTGGTTTCAGACAGAGGGTGAAAAGAGGTGCTGCAGCACAGGCAGTATGAGAAAAATAAAGAGTTTTTTGAACATTAAAGGTGGGGTAAGTAATTTAGGAGAAACCAGCTCGAGTGCGCTAGAATTTGAAAATACACAACCGGAAAAAATCTGCCACTTCCTTACAGAGCCCCTCCTCCAACACACACGAACGCGCACATGACCAATGAGGGCACGAGATAAGTTTGTGCACAGATGGAAGGCTGACAGGCAGGTAGGCCATCCAGTTATTTTAGCTGGTTCCGGCTAAAATGATTGGTCGTGCTTTTTACAGTACTACGGCTTCCACAGATGACAATTTTTTATGGATTTTTTGTCAAAGCACTTAAGATATTCATTGCTATCGGGATGTTAAGAGCATTCCATGGAATATAACAAAAAGTGTATCTCGAGCCGGTTTCTCAAACGTACCTACCCCACCTTTAAAGCATGCATGGAGACATGTCACAGTAGACACTAAATACGAAAATTAGCATAAGAGGGCCCCTTTAACTGCAGCCATCTTCTCTAAATATGTACTTTTTCAAGATTGTAAATACTATCAGGAATATGGTCTTCTAAAACAAGTTAATGAGACAGTCAGTTTTCAAAAGATTCATCTTTAATGGAATGAGATCTTCCATGCTCATTCAAAAGCATCACAGTGCTTCTAGAAAATGTCAGACAGGCTTTTCATTTATACAGAAATTAAGACGACATTAACACAAATATAAAACAAACTAATGGTAGCTTCAGTCATTTCTTGATACAGTGTTTAAACAACAGGAGATGCTCAACAAGGTGAATAATACATTCACTAAAATAAGAACAAAGCTGTGTTACTAGAATAATAATACTAAAGAAGAGCAAAATCATAGAGACCAGCTCGTTTTCTTGCAGCGTGATATCGTGATATGAAACTTAGATTTTGGATATTTAAATATTAGTGTGTTTTCCTTGTTTAAAAGGCTGCATTATAGTGAAGTAAAATGATGTGATTTTCTGAAATTAGCCTAATATTATATGCCTTTATCTACTTCATATTCATTTGACTGGTGACCATCAATGTTCTAATTGTTTTGTGAAAGCATCAATAGTCAACCCTACAATAACATACTCGAGGTATAGGTACAAATATTGTGTTCTGATCAATTTGGACAGAGGTTGCCATATTTTAATGCTAAATGCTTTCATGTATCCACAATAATAAGAAATGGACCCCATGAGATTACAACTGAACTCTATCAGTTACTTTAAGGTTAAACGCTCTGTAAGGCAAAGTGATCCACCACACATATCAACGGCAGAGAAACGGTGTCATACATAACGCCTTTACAAAAAGAAACATAACGGAACGATTTCAGAAATAAATAAAATGTGACAATAAAGTGAAACGTCATTGTATATATTACAGTCTGCTCCATGTAGCTGTGTTCAGGGAAGAGCCTCTGTCGTATTGGAGCCGGATATTTGGTGCTTTGGGCGGTTTTAAGGCCTGAAATGTCAGTATGTGTGCATCTTGATAGATGGGATGAGAGGAAGAAGGGTTATCTGTCATTAAATGTTCAAAAGACAGATGATGCAGCAGGGCCTCCTTGAAAGTCTGGACGTTTTAATCCATTTCCATCATGTTTGTTTTTTTAACATTCTCCCATTTGAATGACTTCCTTCTCACTGTTCATGGTTGAAGATAAGGAAGGCCATATCAGAGCTCAAGACAATTCATCCAAAGTTGAAGCACAAACAGGTTCCTCTGAGTTTTGTTTGACCTTAATGATACTTCCCACACTGGCATGGAGGAGTCCAAATCTGCCTCCATTGGTGGTGTTTCTCCAAAAGCACAAAAAGAAGTCATCCAGGCAGGCAAACCTTCCCGGCAAACAGCAACCCCACGATGGTGAAGAATATGGAGAGAACAAAGAGGACATATGAGGAGCCCACCACTGTGTTGTTGGGGAGTTTATATGGCTGTCCTCCCACCTCGTTGATGTAGAAACCGATGGGGAAGATGAGAGCAGCCATGCAGAACAGAACCACTGTGACAGAGGAGAAAACAGAAGGACAGAAACTGATTACACATCCTCTCTGGAACAACGATTCCCAACCAGAGGTGATCTGCAGCGGCCAGGAGGAATAAGGAAAGACTGTATTGAAGCTCAAGGTATTTGAAAATAAAGAAAGTATGACTTAGTGCTCTTGGGGCCAGCTGTAACACTTGAGAGTTGAGAGTGCATGAAAAGAAAGTTGGCAAACCAGCAGATACATTGAAATAATAGGCAAATATTCATGGAAACCAGTTCAATAAGCAACGATAAATTGTTTAAATGGGTAAAATAAGAAGTACACAGTTTAAAAAGTTATGTTAGCAAAAGGTAATAATGGTATAAGATATAGAAAGTAATTGATAGACAGTTAAATGAGATTCGATAATGGAAATGGTTCAAATAGATAAAGTGATGGGTAAACAGTAGGATTAGTTAGCTGTCTCTGATAGGAAAAAAAAAGGTTAATAAACCAGACAACACTAATATTGATTTATCAAATATTCAAAATCTGACCGATTTACTACTTTCATCAATCATAACTTTTTTGTTTTAGATTTGATTGCATTAAGGCTTGATGATATCCTTCACAGTAGACATTTGAAAATATTAAATTGCTGACCACCACTTTCATTGAATTTTGGATGATTTAGGCCCCGCTCACACGGGACCGTTTGCGTTTATGCAGTATGCGTATTCAAAAAAGTCTTCCGTTCACATGCATTTGTTTCATTTAACGTGTCTGTTTAAACGAGGCCGCTGGAAACGCTGTAGTACATATGCTGGGACTGTAAGTGGCGCTGTAACTTCCGCCAAAATACACCAAAAGCCGCGAAGAAGAGCAGCCTGGAGCAGCCCCGCAGCAATGTTGCCATGGCTACCCTTCTGTTTAAGCCCTGAAACTGAAACTGAAAGAAACCGAATCTGTTGTTGCTGATGGTTGTGGTAGAGGAGCTGTATATTTTTGCACTAATATCTGTAGCATGGTCAGTAGCAGTAGCACTAGCAGTAGCTACTGACAGGAGGAAGTCAGTGTGTGTGGCGATTGCTGGTATTCAGCGGGATATAGTCATTTCCTCAGCATATGGATAAATGCAACGGGGAAGTTAACTGAAAGAAACACGTCTCTGTGGATATTGCATCGAGAGGACGGCTCAGAAAGAGAGATATTCTCTACAAACACCGGGTGGGATGCACCTTTGTCAATATAATGGATCAATGCATGAAATCTGACTCTGTTTATTTTGTTTAAGGAGTATATTGGGCGTTAACAATTCTGGTTTGCCTTTTATAATATTATTTCATTCAAGAACCCCTTGTGCGTTTAATTAACACAGCTATTTTTGATAGTTGCTAGTACAGCAGTGAGCAGGAGAGGCGGGGCTATCCTATTTTTCCAGGAAATATTCGTATAGAGGTGATTACACGGACTCGGTTGACCCCCCAGAGCGTTTCGTTTGCAAATCTATCCACCTTGGGACCCGTTATTGTTTGTGGGGTCAGTTTCTATCGGCCTCGTGTAAATAATAGGGCTATACGCACGCGAAACTATGCAGATACAAGCAGTTTTCTCCTCGTGTAAACGGCGCCTTAGTCAACTTTGTAACGCCCATGGTGTTTCCGGTCAAAATGACCGCCATAAAGAAAAGGAATTAGTAACCATCCGGATCAGATCAAACACACACAAACACCCACCCACACACACACACATACTCTAGATGTGTGTCCCCCCCCCCTTATGTGCCCATCCCCCCATGTGAATCACACCTGGCACACACAAACACACACATACTCTAGATGTGTGTGTGTCCCCCTTATGTGCCCATCCCCCCACATGGATCACACCTGGCACACGCAATACATGTTCAGTGTCTATTCTTTGTATATTTACTGCAGTGTTTCATGTATACCAGTAGTCTGATACAATATGTACAGTTTGAAAGGGTGTTAAACGAAATTTGGTGATGATTAATGGTTTTTGTGTTAATGTAATAGCAGTTAAAACAGGACCGGTCAAATTTGACCGCGAACACCAAAGTAAGGGGGGGGAACGAAGACAATAGGAGGGTTAAGGCAGCTCTCAGCTTTTAAAAAGTGTGTTAAAAACTGTCCCTGAAACTAAATGGTCTACTCGTGAGAACATGCTTCATATTTTTCTATTTTTAGAGCCGAATGAACCACAGCTCCTGCTCTGAACCTCTTTTACAGAGAAACTGTCCTTTTCCTGTAAAAATAGAAACAGGACCATCAATGAGAGCTCCTCTGCAGTAAAGGTGTTCGTAATTACCGGCCTAAAAGCTTCTCCTGAAGTGAACTCTGATGTCGAGGTAGACTGCATTTATTTCACAGGAGAGTCTTCAGTAGCATCTCTTACTTTCACCGGCATTTTATAAACTATAACGGGCAGTTTTGCCTAGGCCTGCCTTTTATTTCTGACCTTAATGCTTCAATGTTTCAAGGCCTTATTGTCATTTGTACATTAGCTACAGTGTGGATATAGCAATGACAAACTTAGGTCACAGGCTCCTCCAACAGTGCAACATATATATATACAGGGTTCATACACTTTTTCACCAATGATTTTCAATGACTTTTCCATGACTTCTCCATGACCTTTACCTCATTTTCCATGACCAAAGAAATTACTCTTTCTCAGCGGTACCACTGAAAATGGTTTATTTTAACATGGAACAGGAAAATAAGGTCTGCATATGAAACATGTTGTGCCTATCTAAAACAAATCAAATAGTAGGCTTACTAGCTTCTACACGCTAAAGCAACTCAAATCTCTCACCAGCAAAATACCTCGTCAGTTAAATGCCATTTTACTTTTCATTACTATACGATACAGTATTTATTATCATTATAGTATTACTATTTCAGCGATTAGATAAAATATAAATTATATTTGATGCAACTTTAGTTACATTTCCATGACTTTTCCAAAACTTGGTTTATGCATAAGAATCCTTAATATTCATGAATTCTGTTATGTAACGTCCGCTCACTGGATACAGAACAATGATGTATATCCAGGCTGTTGATGCCTCAAAAGGTAAAGGTAAAGGGTCTTTTGCTTGATACTTTTGTCGTTTTCTGTTGGCTGACAACTGTCCTTGACCCTGGAAAGTCATTGGAGAGGAAATCAATTATTTCTATATATATCATGGGTAGGGCTTGGCATGATCAGGGCATTAATATGAGCGTTTAGACATGTGAAATCAGACCCTATCGATTCAAAGGGAGCTGGTTACGATGGAAATGAACGTACTTCCTGTGAAGGCGATCCATCGGGCGTATCGGGCGGCTTCTCGGCGCCAGTGGGACATCACCAGCAGAGCGCAGGTGACGGTGAGGGAGATGATGCCCAGGATGATGAAGAAGAGCGTGGTGATCCACTCTGGAGGAAGCTGGGGGGGGAAGCAGGTCCGCTCTCTGCCGTGGATCGTCTGGCACTGACGGACGAGACCTACTGTCAGAGTGCCTGGAGAGAGAGAGAGAGAGAGAGAGAGAGAGAGAGAGAGAGAGAGAGAGAGAGAGAGAGAGAGAGAGAGAGAGAGAGAGAGAGAGAGAGAGAAAGAGAGAAGAAGGAGAAGGTAAAACATCCATAGAGAGAAATCAAATACAATGCGACTACACAAACTAATATTAAAGGCTATGGAAATATTTGTACTCCCACGTTTAAATTTAGATATACTGATTTGTCATATTCTCAGTGTATTTCCTTTTTGTATATTTATATTTCTTTTATGTATTTTTTATTTTATGGGAGTATTACACTAGATTTTGTTAAGATATTTTTGTATTTGCTCTTATTTTTTTGTCTCTTAATTTGTGTTTTCTTGCACCAATATACACCAACACAAACTCCTTGTATGTAAAAACAACAGCATTTGGCAATTAGCAGATTTCATGTGATCTTACATGACAAGACAATATTCCCTTTAACAGTTTTGGTTGTTTTAATTTAAGATTTCAGTCTTTTTTAGTTGATTGTCTGTATCATTCAATCTGGTTTTAAGTGGGTGAGGCTCAATTGGAAAAAGATCATGTCATGTGTGTACTGGCTTTAAACCCCATTGAGATACAATTATAATTTGTTTCATTGATTGCAAGAGATATAACTTAAGCATGGCTTTTCAGTTGATAACCTTTCAAGACAGTTTTTAAGCAAGATTAAAGTAAATACTCCACAGTCTACCGCACATTAATTATACGAACATGAAAGGTTATGTAGTATATCAGGGCTGGCAGTTTGTTTGTTTTGCCAGCTTCATGTTACAAACTCCTAGTGCATGAGAAACATGTGATATGATTTGTTTTCATGTTGACTCTGGCTGCAGCAGAGACCCTCAGTGATTCATGATGACGTCTGACGGGATCAGGGTCTGCACAGACCACCAGAACATCTTCATCAGAGAGAGAGACTGTACATGTTAGAAATTAAGAGATCACAGGCCCTACAACAGAAGGAAAGTCATCTGACTTCCTCCTGCTGGGGGCTCTGACGTCAGGTGCTTTCTCCACACACACACACACACACACACACACACACACACACACACACACACACACACACACACACACACACACACACACACACACACACACACACACACACACACACACACACACACACACACACACACACACACACACACACACACACACACACACACACACACACACACACACACACACACACACACACACACACACACTCACACACACACACACCACACACACACACACACACACACACACACACACACACACACACACACACACACACACACACACACACACACCCACACACACACACACACACACACACACACACACACACACACACACGAAGCCCCACAGAGACTGCATCTGCTCAGCTCTGCATCCCCTCTGACGACATTGAAGACACAACACAAATGCAGAAAAATGAAATCCTCCCACTCCTTCATTCATTCGTCTCCTTTTCTTTTTCTATCTTATTATCCTCACAAAGGCAGTTAGAGATTGCCAAGCACACACAGAAGAAGAGGAGTTTTATGGATTCATTCATGGCAATTTAGCAACCGGAGAATTAGCATAATTGTCACGATGGTCCAAATCAGAAGAAACCAATATTAAAAAGAGTGCACGAAATACACTTCTACATCATATCATTGGTATAATATGTACAAATAACAATCAACTAGTACTTAAAGCCATTAAAATACTCCCAATTGCCATTTAACAGTAGTGTTTTTGTGTAAAAGACCACCAAGTGTCACCATACAATTCATAATGTTACATATCCGTCATCTCTGTACATATTCATAATTGGACTGAAGTGGCTTCAGCTCCCGATCATGGATAAAGTGCAGGATGATGATCCTTGAACCACATCCTCCTGCAGGCTGACCCCCCCCCCCCCCCCCACACACACACACACACACAGGATATCCTGTTCCATAACACACATCCTCTTACACCGCAGACCGGGAGACAACGCACAATGGACACAACAAATGGGTTTTTGCCTTGTGCTTTTGTGGGAAATGGATTTTGTTTTTAATCAAAAGTATGAGAAAGACAGCGATGATTGTTAAACTCGAGCGATAAAGATGAGTGTGGAGGAGAGTCATGGATACTTACGAATAAAGTAAGAAAAAGTGAAAGAAATAGGTATAAAAAAGTAGTTAGCAGTGATGTTACGTTCTGGTGTTTTTCCTGCTCATTGGTATGAAAAAGGTGAACGAGTCGTACTTTATAGCCGTTCTTTTATCATTGTGACCACATTTAAATGCCAGCCCTAAATCTCATCAGACAGGAGGTGAAAGGGGTGTTGTTAAAACATTATCATACTACTGATCTGTGCTTTGTATCTTAAGCGAGAAAAATATGGAGTTGGGGCAGAATCGCTTGTTAACCGTTGCAGAATCTAATACTGAAATAAATGTTTTTCGGTTTTACATGACCGAAAAAGAATGACTAGCAGTTCGGAAATAAATCACTTTATAAAGGGGACATACAATATTTGATGTTACATTGTATGGAAAATAATCAAACCACGACGTCTGGAACACCCTTCACATTTGAGATAGCTGGCGGCATCGATGTCTGCTACTCAAAAGGTCCAGTTTGTAGGATTTAATGACCTCTAGTGGTAAGGTTTTAGATTGCAACCAACTGAATAACCCTCCCTTTCCTGGAAACGTGGCATTCATGTAATAACAAATGTGAAAAACCTTATATTGATACAGACAGGGCCGTCCCTGGCCAACATGAGGCCCCACGTAAAGTTATATGATGAGGCCCTCTGTTTCGCGAGCGTCGGCGGGGGGGGGGGTGCTAGTGGAGCCTTGCAGCGGCGAAACCGTGCCGCGCCACACTAATTGCCCCGCATAAGCGCATAGGTGCGCCGCATTTTCACCCTCCGCAAGGTGTAGGGAGGGACGGCCCTGGATACAGAGTTTGGCTTCTGTTTTAGGCTACAATTAAATCATGCTACATGGCGGACTCTGTGTATAGATATGAAGAGCTTAATGTAAGCTAACGAGAACACAACAATTCTTAGTTTCAGTTGTTTCAACACTTGTCAAACATACTTGTGAATATTACATAGCATTCCTGCTGATAGATCTCCCTAAATATTACACTTTAAATTATCTGTAGTTCATACATTTTTAACTTTATACATGATATTTCCATGGTTAGACCCATAGAGTCCTGACAGTCTCGCTGTGGCCTTTAATTAATGAACACAGAAGTGGCAGGAACTTTGTGTGTTTCTGTGTCACGAATGGCCAATCCCTAACCTGTAATTAGTGAACACTTCTGAAACGCAGACACTTTCCTGCTCCTTCAAACCTCTCTACTTGACACTTAAACACACATGGTGAAAATGCTCACACACACCCAAACACACACAAAGTGCTCAGGCATGCATTTTGACCTTGTACTAGATGGGAAAACACAAGGAACAATAGCTCACAGAGCAGCTATAATAAACACCAGTGTTGCCGTCACAAATGTAAGAAGAGTTTTTTTACATACTTCCTATGCATGCACTTAAACTTAAATACGTCACCGTGCCTGAGGAGCTTTATTCTCCCAGTGGAAAGCATTACTCTCCCAGGAGGCTTAATTAAAAGTCCCACATCTTCATTCCCTAACAACACTTCCTGCACTGAGGGCCTTCAGGTGATTACTACTCGGCTAATTTAACAGGAACAAAAAGCTTTTAGTACAGTAAGTAGTACAGTAGTACATTCATCTCACACCCTCGCCTAGTATGAAGGAATGTGAGCTGCTCTTAACTACAGTCCATTTCCTGCTATGACGTTTAAGAAAATAGAGATTTAGTCTGTGGTTTACTTATTTCATTATGCAACAAAAACCTGCTTGTTATGTACTCAACTTGCATCAGCAGTCAGTGTTTTTACTTCAATACAAATCCTGTAATAAGTACTTTGCAGCCTGTTACGTGCTTATCTGTGCTGCATAGTAACATAAGGATGGAGGCAGCTGTGCATATACTGTACTGTTTGTCTTTTGCATCAGTTTTAGTCAATGTTTAGCTTTTGGACTTTGCATCTGAATATGACTCTATTGGAAAAATCAGGGAGGCTGACTGTAAGAAGAAAACTGTGATAATCGCCTGTATTAAACATATCAATTCTAACATTGACTGTACGATGAATGAAATATGCTTTCCTAGAAATGATCATAGGTGTTAATGAAAATGTAATCTGGAACAACAGTTGATGACATTGATGTCTGATGCCAACATCTTAATGAAAGATCAGATCACCAATTAATTTAAATCAGGATTATTAATAAAAACAAGTTATTGTTCTATTTTTTTGTGAAGAAATGGATACTTTCACCTCACAACTTACTAATCACAAAAATGCTATTAATTGAGATGAAATAACCATTATTTCAGTGGCATTTTAAGGTAATTGTACTCAAGTATTTCCATTTATACTTATAATATATATGCAACACTATATTTCGGAAGCCAACCTTAAACTTGTTAAAATATTCAGATTGATAATTTAACCTTAAAGTCATTCTCATTCATTGTGATGTTATATTATAAGTAACGCTACAATTAAAATACAAATTTGCTGTATTTTTTCCAGCTGAAACATTAAATAAAAGTTGCATCAATAAATAAAATCCAACAAAATAATATATAATTGTAAAATAGTACAACGTGCATGAGTACAATGAGTACTCAAACTTTGAGTACTTTTTTTTTAACCTACAAATGTACTTTTACCTGTAACAGACACTTTCAACACTATGGTATTGCTTCTTTTACATAAGTAAAATATCTGACATCTTCCACTTCTAGACATTGCTTAATTTTAAAGCCAAATTGAGAACCACATTTGACAATAAATCTGTTTGTCTGCAACTTTTGCCTTCAAGCGTGTTGGTTTTTTCAACATAAAACACAATGTGTATGTGATTTCGCCTAAAAATATATGCCGTTTTTTTTAGGGTTTAATCTCCTAGTTGCACCCAATAAACTGACCTCCTAATGCAACAAAGACATTTTTAAAGCACAAACTGGGAGAAAAGTGTCACCATGAACCTACCGGAAGCTCCTCCAGTGCTGATCCAGTCCGGGTTGGCGATGCTGGCGATGGCGAAGATGTCTGCAGTGAGGAAGAGGCATCCTGAAATCACGGTGAGTTTATCCATGTCGGTGCACAAACTGCAGGTTAGAGAGTTTCTGTCTCACCTAAAGGGAGGTGGGACATCCAGCAGCACGAGGACAGCCAGGGTTAGCAACGTGCATGGATAGACAGAGGAAGGATTGATCCACGATGTTCCTGCACACTGTGTTTGATCCAAATCGTTCCTGAAGAAATCCACTTTTATTTAGTCCACAAACAACCGAGCCTGACCCGACCTGCTGTCGCTTCTCCAGCCCCGGAGGAGAGGCTCTCAGCCCGGGTTCATGGATCTCTTAGCTCCGGAGGCTCCACCACATCTTGGTGATTTTGCAGAAAAAAGAGAGTGGAAAATGTGCTTTAATCGCTGGTTGAATCTCCGACACGGATTCATGCATGCAGCAGACTTATTTCCTGAGTCTGCATGCAGCCCCTGAGCTTTCTCCCCCCATATGGGAGCTTTTTCTTCCCTCTGGAGGACGCACACTGAGGGGAAACGCCGCCCATGACTCGCAGTCTCTGCGGCGCTCTCCTGGAGCTTTAAATCCACACACCCATATGCAGAATATCTTCAGTAGACTTCTTTAGAAAGCTTTTAAGACACACAGCAAATGTGTTTTCTGCAAAACGCTGCTGTCCTCTCTCAAATTCTGGCAGTTCTCGTCACTCCTTGGCTGTAGTGGACAACTCTCGCGAGAACATCTGTAAATAGCCGACGCTGCTGGGACTTTTTGCCACATAAATTATGCAACATGGACATTTCTATATGTTCCGTAAACATGGGTAAGCACATTGAAGTTACACCTATACACTCATGCAGTAAAATCTGCACAAGTGGCACTTAAACTCGTTATTATAAAACAAACCTGAACTTTTTCATTTAGGGTTAAGAGTTTTTGTTAATGTCCCTCTTTATTGTGAAGAAAAAACAATAAAACGTAATTCATTTCAAGCTTTCAAAACATAAAACACCACAACAAAAACACTTGAAACTCTGTAAGGTAGATAGAATTTATTCATTATTTTACATCAGCTATACAGTTAATGTGGACAGATGAGTGGAGCACGACAATGTGATGCGCCAGAGCAGCATCACCTGAAAATATACTGTTACAGCACCGATAAATACCCAGAGGTCTTATGACATTATATCCCCTGCCTTGTTTGTTTTTGTCAAAATGTAAAAGGAAACAATGTTTTCATTCAGAGTTGAATGAAAAGTACGAGGAGGGTTTTAGACCTCATCCACAAAGGGTGTGTTTACGAGGTTGCCGCTGGATGCCATGGTCTTCTTGCCGGTCACAAACTTCTTGGCAGCCTGAAAACAAGCAGCAATACAAGTTGAGAGCCACGTTATTAACTTCAAACCAATGTTTTCACACAGCATATTTAAAAAAAAAAACTGCAGTAGATTCAGTATTATACATCTATGCCTATTATGAGAGCCAGTGTTACAGTGTACATCTACTCAAAACAGTACATATTTAAGATGCTTTTACTATAGTATTGTCCCTTTCTACTCCACTACACTTGAGTAAATAGTGTTTTTTATATTAAATATATTCGTTATCTTTAGTTACTTTGCAGATTAAGATAAATAATACAGAACTTATATCCACTAATAAGTATATGTTATTAAAAGGTTAAGATACCAAGCAGTATACAAAGTAGTTTAAAACAACAAGTACCCCGTACAACATTCAAGTACTTAATTAATCTCTTCTGACAATAGCAGAGCATTAACAAGAAGCACATTTCTTACGTTGGCGATGTCGGTCAAAGAGACGTTGTCGATGTTTGTGGAGACTTCGTCCGTGGAGCTGTAGCATCCCTCGGCCAGAGCCTGAGAGCCCATGGCCTCCAGGAGACCCTCGGAGGTCTCCAGAGACATCAGGACCTCGGCCTTCAGCTGGACCCTGCGGAGAGAACCAGGACACGCTCAGCATAAGATACAATACAGGAAACTAGGAGGAGAAATGTTGTCTTGATGCAGTTTCTTTTGAAGAACAAGGGGACAACAAGATGTTTTAATAAGTCCAGTTAAAATGGTTAAGAACTGTTTACAGGAAATGGAGAGAAACAGCTGACCTGGCTCCAAACAACTTAGTAAAGCATGACTTATAATATATGAATATAAAAAAAACATGTTTTACCACTTATTTGATCTGTTTATAAAACAAGATGTGAGGCTATTTGCAGAACCATGTATTGTCATCTTTGCACTGACACAGGCAAGCTGTTTAAATAAACCTAATGCCTACTAAAATGTTCAGTTAGATGTTATAGAAGTAGCAACCATAAGTTACTAAAAGTAGTGTTTGCAAGAAATCATGTCTTCCACATAATGTTTTTGGTGCTTATTGTAAACTGGAATAGAAATATAACAATGATCAATGCAGAGAGGAATCATATCACAGTGGTTTCTGCATGTCTTACTTGGCCCGAGTGAGGTCAGCCGCGGTGACGTCACCGTCAGCAACAGCCTTCACCTCAGCAAGCGCGGCCTTAATCACCTGCAGAGACAAAGACAGATATTACATAAAGACATCTTTCAGTTACAACCCAAACAGACTCTTGGCATGAATAAAAGATACTCACATCAGCAGCAGCTGCAGACTGGGAAATAGTGTAGACCCCAAACAGACCAGAGTCAGAGTAGCTTGCATTGAAAGCGCTGACCTGCACAGAGAGAAAAAACATGTTTTTACAGGTACTGTTGAATCTTTATTTGCCCAACTTGTTTGTTCCCACCATGTAAAGCGGCCTTGGGTCCCTTGAAAGGCGCTAAAATAAATATAATCTATTATTAATCTATGATATTTCCAGATTCAAGCCATTCAAGGCCTCTGTGTATGAAGCATTTCTGTTATAACTGACTATCACTCACATCAAAGGGGTCAGCAGTTGCCTTGGTAACACCCTGCACCAGTTTGCTGGAGGTGCACGAGCCCCTCTTGACGTGCAGCCCGGCCCCCAGAATGTGCTGCAGGACGCTGAAGGCCAGAGCCTCTCCGGACCCCGCCGCCGCCGACTCGCTCACCACCGCCGAGTGCACCAGGGCGCCGAGGCCGGGCACACGCACCTCGCCTTCAGACGGGAATACAGGGAGTTATACATTTAAATGTTTAAGGAAAACTCCCCATGTTGCAGCACATTGGTGTGCGACCAGCTCACCTCCACGGTACTGAGCCGCGGCCCCCATGGTGCCCGTCCCACTGCGGATGTTGAGGAACTGCTCTCCAACTTGAGTCAACACCTCGTGATCCACACCTGACGGAGAGACGGACATCAGACACTAATTTCTTATAAGGACAGGGTATATGCAGGAATCCTGAAGTCAAATGTAATACCTTTTTAAGACCTTTTTTAAGACCCTTTCCATACATTTTAAGACCTCATCGCCACTTGGAGTTTTAACCGGTTACATTGGCGACACACTTTACCTCACATTGACTATATACAGTATTGATTGTCCTTCCTCCTTATCTTCCAATGCCATAAATAAACTACACAGAATCACACTACACACCTACGCAATGATTACATTCAGGCAAACTGTAGAATACAACCTCTTTGGACAATTTATATACTTATTGAAAACAAGCTACAAAATGTAATACCTTGGAAAATGCTGTTTAATACTTTTTAATAGCCTTCATTTTCGCTAAATTGATTTATCAACTTTTAATACTTTTTAAGACACCCTGAAGGAAAACAGTGGGTATGTACAGAATTCAATTTTTCTTCATTCAGGAAGGTTTAATAAAGAAAGTTCAAATGTCTGATATCATATTTTATTACTTCATCAACCCTTAAAGGAAACCCTAATTTATAGTATAAAATGTTTTTTTTCCTTTTTTAAATAGACCGTCTTTTATGAATTCAAATCTTCGTTGGCGTTTTCTTTTGTTTGCAGCAGCCGGAGTCAAACTGTTTTCATTTTCATTGTTTACCACAATGAAAATGATGCTTTTGAAAAGGCAACAAACTGATCACTTCAGATAAAAACTAGTGAGAATATATTTTTCCTTCACTTTTGAGTTATTGGAAAGGTCTTTTGCATCACAAAAGATTTACAAATTATACAACAATTTCAATAACAATATCAGCATAGCCTAATCTTCTCTTTAACTGCAGAAATACCTGCTTTACACACAACTAATAAACAACAACACTTCGGGATAAAAAACTGTGAAGCATTTGACTGTTGAGGTTTCTAACTATTTAGTACAGCCTTTATAGGAGTCATGTGATACACTGCGTTCAAACTTTGCTGCTATCCTTCTATGTATATTATGTTTAAAGTATAACAACCCCTTACCAAGTCCAACAAGAGCCATTCTTGCGCTCGTGAAATTGTTCTGGACAAACTGGTGCAGCTGGAGAATAAAAAACAACATTAGAATTGTTTTAATGGGTTTATTACCACTGTAAGTCTTGAAGAATGAACACTGGAACAGTACTCACATGTTCAGAGGTGATGTTGCCGACCATGTGGTTAGGACAGTACAGAGAGTTAGAGAGAGCGTTCTTGTAGGCGGCTTCATGCAGAGCTTCAAGCAAATCTGGAGAACACAGAAAGAGACATGATGCGAGATTATTATTTAAGTCAACATTTGTGATATCCTGGTGGAGTAATTGGCTTTGTTCCACCTGTCTAATTCATTTATGTCTCTTATGTCGCATTCACACCAGCCTTGTATAGTCCGGTTGAATCGAACCCTGGTGCGTTTAGCCGCTTGGTGCGGTTCGTTTGGGTTGGTGTGAACGCAGTCAGAGACCTCTGAAGTGAACTAAACAACCGGACTCTGGTCCGCCTAAAAGAGGTGGTCACGGACCGCTTGCTTGTGAACTCTGGTGTGGTTCATCGCTGGTGTGAACGCAGTCCGCACCACAACATAGGAAGCGTAGTATTTACGTGTCACAAGAACGCGGATGTCTTCAGAATCGTTAGCGAAAGAGTGAAGCAGAATGAAGTGTTGATCAGTGTCGTGTAAAGTAAAAACTATCATCAAACAAAAAGCTATACATAAAACTCAGAGCCACCTGCCGTCGGTGAAACCCCCTCCTTACTGCAGAACGTCTCTCATGTGTTATAATGTTTTTTATCGCACGTTGTCTGATTATATAATCATATGCGCCGTCTGCTAGAGAGTCCATTGATATGATCTCCAGATTAACAACAGCATGAAAATAACCTGCCGATGCTCCATGGCGGAGGCTCCGATAGAAATTGCCGGGTTTGCGTTTTTACCCCCTTAATGTCTGACCAATTGTTGAACAGCATTTCCGAGCACATGACTTGTGTTTAAAGTTTATAGTCAGTTATAATTTTTCGTGTGAACGCAAACCGAACCTTCTGAAAATGAAACAATGTAACAAACTGTCGTCTGGTGCGCACCAGAGAAGCGGACTATTAGGTGTGAATGCGACCTTAAATAACAGATTTTTGTGGAAATTTCTCACCAACAATTACATGAAACAACTTTATACACTAGATGCTGGATGCTGTCGTCTTTGCAGTAGTATTTTAGAGCTAAATTGGACTATACTCCACAGAAAGGAGGAGGGAATAATAATGAATAAGTGGTCAATATAGACCTAAAAAAAAATTAAGAGATGAGGTCAAAAGGGAAAGAGAAATAAGGGCCCACCGATCTGAGAGCTCTGTTTAGCATGGGCATTGTCCCTCTTGACTCTGGGCGTGAGGTCTGACACCTCCCATGGCCGAAACTCAGGGGCTGTTGTCACGTTGATCAAATACTCCATCACTGTGTCACTGCAAATAATAAAAAAAATCACAAAAACAAGTTAGTGGCAAAGCTACACCAATACTATATCCAATCCTGTAGCATAATCTGCCTTTCCACCGGACTCTCCTATGTACCAAACAGTTATTCTTTCACAAAAATAAGGTGTTATCAGATTAGGCCCTGACCTCCAAATGATTCATATCAAGATTCCTGTTGATTTCTGACAAGTGTATTATTATTATTATTATTAGTCACTACGTTGAGTTATTCAAAGACTCACAAGTCATCTCTCAAGCAGTCAACGGTGTAGACCATGTTCTCTCTGGATGAAGTCACACTGCAGAGAAACAATTAAAAATCCAGATAAGCATACTGATCTAGGAACAACTTGTATTCAAAGGTTAGTAATGATCTTTCTGTAAAGTTACTAACCCCAGGCTGCCTCCCACTGCCTCAACACCGCGGCATATCTTAAAAGCTGAGGCTCCTTTGGTTGTCTGGGGAAGCAGAACATGTCAGTCAACACCAAGCTGAGGACCTTTTAACACTAAATTGTAAATTAAACTTGTTAGTGTTATTGCAAGTTGAGAAAAAATAGTTTTGCCATGAATTTAGTGATAGATTCTAAACATTCAAAATAAATAATTGGGCGTTTTCCAGTAACACGGTTGTTAAGTATATCAGACACCAATGGCACAGCTTTGTATCTCTTTGTCTTTTCGACCAACATTTTTTGCACAGGTCAGGGGGTACATCGCTGAATAAATATTTCAAAAACATTTGGGATTAACTGCGGCATCATACCAGGCTGGAGGCCAGTCGGAGGACGTGGGTGACCCCCTGGTTCTCAGGGGTCTCATAACGACAGCCGGACTTCACAAACACTCCGATCTTGGAGGCGGGTGAGTAATTCTCCAGGGAGGCGATCACCAGTCCGCTGGGCAGCTTGGTCACCTGCAGAGATGTTTCTTTAGTTTCATGTTTCCAGTTAAAACATGTCAGCCGATAGGACTCAGTTTACATTCTAGAAAGGCTCTTCTTAAGGATTTAACACTCAACATAATGATAACAAGACTTCTTAAACATAAAATACAAGTCAAATGTGACTATTTCTACAGGCAAAGCAACTCATCTCTTCATTCTCAGACCCAAAACTAAACTGACAGGACCCATCCAACCCTTCCTCTTCACTCCCCCAACATACATGGATGTCCTGGAGGGAGTGTGCAGCTCCTGGAGAGAGCTTGATGCCAGCCAGTGGCTGAGCGAGAGACTGGCTTGTTCTGGCAGCCACATGGAAGTGTCTCTGTGGAGAAGAAACAACACATCAACAACTACTGACCTGCACATCCTGCGGCTGAAACGTAACATGTTCAGCGGCTGTGAACTCCACCTTACGGGCAGCCTGGGCCGCGTAAAGCCTCGTCTGGAAAGTAGAAAAAACATGGGAAGGCGGGACATTACAGCTAATGTGTTGCTGGCTTGCTGATTGATGCAAGGGGGAGGAGGAAAATCCGGGAGAATTAAACATTGTGGATTTATAAAGGTGTATAGATCGATGAGAAGGGAAAGGGTCGATATCAGAAAAACATTTCTAAATATTTTAGAGCTGCCGAGCTATTTGGTAATATGGGCATGGATAACACGAGATATATAGAAGCTTATGGTGACTCAATTATTTCTCGTTAATCTTCTAAGCAATACAGCAGCTCATATATTGGTTCAAGACAATTCAGATAAAGATATCATCAGCAGCCAGCAAAAAAAGAGCTGTAACATGAAAAAGACTAAAACCCAACCTTCAATAGAGACTGAGTAGATAGATATTGAGGATTCATTGTTCCTAGGCCTGACACAATAAATACATGATGTATTCTAGTATTTGCCACTGGAGTGACTTCAGATGTTAAATCAGTCACAAACCAATTTAGATTTATATTAGCATTTCAAACAGCAAAATAAACGCCAGGGAATCGTGACACTTAATAAAATAGGTTTGTATGTTTAAAAAAAAAAAACCCACAAAGACAGATTGGTTTTAATACACGTTGTAATAACATGTGCTCTCCCTTGTCTAATATACAAGTCCACACCTATATAGACTTTTACTGTTTTGCTAATTTCTTATAAAATAAATGTTTAAAAAAAAGATAGAAACAAAAATAGGCTGATTAAAGCCAGCTGTCATCACACAATATAGGTCAACATTTGTTGTGGAGTTAAGTCTACGAGAAGCTAGCCCTTACTACTAAGGCTTTGACTTAAGTAAATATGGTTTAAGGCAAGGCAACTGTTACTGTGTAATGTTTATTATGTAAGCTAACGTTATCAGTTGGGTTACTGCTGGATAGCATCAGGTTAGCATTAGCTGTTCCTCCTCTGCTCTTCATCACACCTTGACCCTGAGCTTTTACACTCTCTGACAATCACACAAACACTGAAACAGACAGCTAATGACTATATATCTCTCCCAATACACATATATACAGGATAAGTTAGATAAATCCTTACCGAAAGCTGACTAATTCCACGAATCCCCTTCATCTCCCCTCTCTCCTTCAGGAAATCTGAGCAATATGGCCGCCGTGTGTGCCCTACCCAGAATGCCTAGCGCGTTCCTTGCCGGCTGATGAACCGCTGAGCCAATGAGCGCGCTCTGTTGTTGATGTGTGACAAGACCACAAAATGTTTATTATTCTAAATATGATATAATATATACATTTCTGCACTGCAAAAAAACGTAAAACCTTTGCATATGTGTTTTGGAATTGTACTAAGAGATTGTGGCAACATGTTCCCAGTCTTATAACTGATAACTGTATAGGTGATTTTATTGTAATTTAATAATGCATGAATAATGTTGTTGTTTTGTATTATTGATACTAAATTGATTTTACTATCAGAAGGTGCATATTTGTTATTGTTGTTCTTTATTATTTGATATCATTTATATAATTAATATTTCATCATTAATCACAGTTTAAAATGTCATCACAAAAACAAAAAGCGACAATGCGCACCGGGAGAAAAAAAAAGCACTTCCGGTATCTTTCAGCTGGTGTACCCAGTGCGCATGTGCGAATATTCCACACGTGTGGTGATCGTCTGACTGGCTGCATGCAATAGAGAGCTTAGAAAGTTAATATCGGTACAACATATTGCTTAAAGAAAACTCAGCGCAAGTTTAGTTGTCTCTTCTTACCGAGGTAAAAGACGAATAACCTCCGTGAAGCATTTCGCCGAGAGGACAGAAATACCCAAAAAACTAATTCACAATGGTGAGTGTTGTGAGTAGGCTAACTTTGAGCTAACATTAGCTTAAGGTAACAACGTTGTATGTCGTACTAACCTCATCCCAACCTCCTTGTTTGTCCACTTTATATAGAGCTTTGCTGTTGTTAATGTGTGTTAAATGTTGTTTTATTTCCATGTTCAGACAGAAGCAGCAGTAAACCCAAAGGCCTACCCGCTGGCCGACGCCACGCTGTCCAAGACCATCCTGGACCTGGTGCAGCAAGCCTCCAACTACAAACAGCTCAGGAAGGGAGCTAATGAAGGTGAGGAGACGTAAATATTGGGAATTAAATGTAACTAGATGGTGGCTTCAAGTAGAACCTGGTAGTTGGATAGGTTGCTACTTTCAGAGCTTTTGTAACATCAGGAAAGGCTGCGAAACGTGGTCTCGTTCAGGTTAACAACAAACGCAGCAGCATGTGTGGGGGAAAAACTCATTGTAAACCTGCAGGGATTTGTCAATTACTTTGTTATCTTTTCAAAAGTAAGGACATCAATTCAATTAATCTTTAGTCATTAAAAAAAAAAAATCTTAAATGGCAAATATCTTTCTGATGCAGCCTCTTAAACGTGAATGTTTGCTGCTTGTTTCTATGATTTACCAACTCAAATTAGCTACTTGTTTGAATTTTGAGTTTACTTTCATAAATCAAGAACATTATTTACGTTGTTCAATACTTATACTAAAATTATTAAACCAATAATCAAAAAAATGCAGATCTCAGAATCAGTTCTTAAACCAGTAGGCCACCATTGTGTTGCTGCCAAAACAATAACTAAAGTAATGACGATGTAACACTGATGTTAACGCATTGTACTAATTGTGATTTAATTCTTCCCCAGCCACTAAAACCCTGAACAGAGGCATCTCTGAGTTCATCGTGATGGCCGCTGATGCTGAACCTCTGGAGATCATCCTCCACCTGCCCCTGTTGTGCGAGGACAAGAACGTCCCGTACGTGTTCGTCCGATCCAAGCAGGCTTTGGGTCGGGCCTGCGGGGTTTCTCGCCCCGTCATCGCTACCTCAGTCACCATAAAGGAGGGGTCCCAGCTCAAACCACAGATCCAGTCTGTTCAATTGTCCATTGAGAGACTGCTCGTCTAATTTTTGTTGCACTTTTGTAACAAAGTCTCCTCTGAAAAACGAGGAAGATGTTATCTTGTCATCTGTTTGATGAACAGTTATGAATGACAGGAAAATGTAATGGTTTTTCTTTTGTACTTTTTAGGACAGTGTCCACTTCATTGTATCAGTTTGCGAAGGCATATCCTGATGAATAAAAAATACTTTTTTATTTAAACCTGATGTTTTGTTCTGTTCTCATTCAGTGTGAACTTAAAGTCGTCTAAATCCAAATATTTTGGAAAGTACATGATTTTCAAAAAAGCCTCACATTGCTTTACCTGTCTTTTAATCCATTAAAAAAACTCAATGTCACAATAACATGGTTTTATTGTACATAACTGGCAAACCTCATATTTTAATATAACAGATTGTTATGGTGAGGTATTGAACGTGATGAAATATGAACAAAAATGTCACTCAAGCTATGTTGTTCATTATCAATAGAAAAGTTGGCCCTTGAAGATATGGTGTTTAAACTTTTTTTTAAATGATAAAACAAAAATACTAAAAGATACTTTCTACATACACCCACAGCGATAAATATATATCAGTAGCTCTGACTAAATAAAAAATATAGCGAAAGTAGTTACTGAACCTGTTTTTGGAAAATACTTTCACTTTGAATACAAGTAGAGATACTTGAACCAAGTTAAAGAGTTAAATTATTAATCTTATATTTGGGGGAGTGGCTTTGAAAGGAGTCCTGAAGGGACCGGCTGTCTTGCCAATTTTCAATTGAACTACTTCACTGCTGTGCTACTTGCAACACAGGGCTTGGTTTTATGGCTGAACAGCATTCAACATTCAGAAGTCACTGAACTTTAAAAACCTACTAAATCAGAGCTTTACTGCGGCTCTTGAATGCAACACGTAATTTGAGCTTCTAAACTTTGCACCAAACTCACCGCAGTAACTGATCTGAGGAGCTGAAGCATGGCCGGACCTCCTGCTGTGATCTGGGAGCGCGAGGTGGCGGGTCTGCTGCGGTACCAAGAGCTGGTGCCCCGGCTGGAGGAGGCTCTGGGGAAGTTCTCCAGCCGGGACCCCGCAGAGGTGATCCAGCCTGTGCGCACCACCGTGCCGCTGCAGAAACACCACGGGTATGTCTCTATGATGAAGCTTTGATTTGAATATTTAGTTGCATTGTTTACTTGTTTGCTATATAATCTATTGCACGGTCGGTGTAACTCAGGGGTACTCAAACTTTTTTATTAAAGGTCCAGTTGTGAACTTTATACAAGGTCACTGGTCCGGATCAATGCCAGTAAAGCATTTTTTTTTTTTTTTTTTTTTTTTTTTTTTTTTTTTATAATGGGACACAGGGTTCGGTCCGGATTGATTTGCAGTTCGGTCCGGATCCGGACCTTGGTCCGGAGTTTGAGAAGCCCTGGTGTAACTGGTTCAATTAATACACATTGAATCGGCTAGACAAAAGTAATATTTTCTTCTGTCTTTGAGGTTATTAAAAACACCAAAATGATATGTGAAATGTAAACCCTTTATGCAGTAGTGGAAAGTATATTTTTAACTTACTCTAGTATTGTATTTAAGTATTTTAGTGGACATATTTGCACTTTACTTTAATATTTCTGTACTAGTTCAGAGGAAAATGTTGGACTTTTTTAACTCCACTACTTTTAACCCTCATAGTTACTTTGTGCACATTCAAACCACAGTCTATGATTCAAACACATCCATGCTGATGTTATATAATGTATAATACTTTAACTTTTTGTACTTTAAATATATTCTGATGCTTATACTTTACTTCTTTTACTTAAGTAATATTTTTGAAATCAGGACTTTTACTTGTGAGTAGTTTCAGACCACAATATTTGAACTTTTACTCAAGTAAAGAATCTGAGCCCTTCTTTCAAAACTGCATTTAGTTGTCCTTGTTACCTCCTTTATGGCGTTCACACCCAACCATGTTAATTATTGATCTTTCCTGGTAAATAGCTAACGGTTTTTCCTTAACCGCTTTCCAAAAGGAAAGTAATATTTGACATGTAAAGAAAGCCCAATGTATCCTCTTCTCAATCATACTTTCTAGAAAATAGCTTACATTTCCTTTGATTATAAGGCATTATATAATATTTAATTATCACTTCCAAGCGAATTCCTTCCAGTAGTTTGGTTGTCCTACAGGGGAAACATTAAAAACAAGTTGTATTTCTGACAACTCCTTTTCTTTCACAGCTTTATGGGATTGATGCCTACATACATGGAGAATAAGGGAGTCCTGTGCACAAAGTTTGTGTGTTTCTACAAGAGGGAGGACGGTTCAAATTTGCCGTCCACACAGGCCACGGTGGTGCTGCTGGACCCGGAGTACGGGAACGTAAAGGCTGTGAGTAAAACCTTATTAAACACAGGCAGGGGTCCCTTAAAGGTCACCCATAATGCAAATGCTTCCATGTCTTTTATACATCAACATGTGTGTCCCCCCTCTGTGTAAAGAGATTCTGAAAGTTTCAGGAAAAAAGATTCTCTCTCTTTTTGTCCTGATCCATTTATATAAAAACCTGTCTGAAAATGAGCTGATCAGATTTTGGCCACTTTATGATGTCATAACGATTTTTTGGCTTGTGTAACCATTAGCTAATCAGCAACCAAGGTAACCCCCCCAACCTTATCACCTGAATCTCCTCCTAGACCACCATTGTGTTCTTTTTAACCAAATATTTCTCAGAGGGGTGTGAGGAGTGGCTCCTTATTTTCATCTAAAGGCCCGGACACACCAAGCCGATTTCGGCCGTCGATAGATGTCTGGCCGTCGATGAGCGTCCTCTCGCCCCCTTCTCAGATTGGTGTGTCCCGCACCGTCGCGTCTTTTCGGCCGTGCCGACACCTTACGCCGCCGATTCGACATGTTGAATTGGCCGCGGAGCCTGCGGAGGCTGTCGGCAAAATAAATCACTCTGATTGGCTGTTCAGCTTATCGAAACACTATTTTCCTGAATGGGAGTGGAGCAGTACAGTACTTAAATAAATGTACTTTGTTACTGTCCACAATCTGGCTAGAAGTGTTTTAATGTTGTAGCTGTTCAAGATGGTCATTTTAAAATGTTTAAAAAATATACTGTCGGCTAGTTAAACCAATAATAATGCTACGGCTGCAACTGACAGTTATGTTGGCACATTTTAATTTTTTCTTAACGTTGTGTGATTAAAAGAATAAATACAAATAGCAGGATAGGCACACATATTTGCTATATCTTGCCCCACTGAAAAGGCACTGCACCGATACGGTTAAAATATTGGCATAGTTCATCCCTGTGCTGCTTGGCTCGAGCTGTAGCATGTAGCTATTTGTTGTTTGTATAGAGAGGCGAAGTCCCTCCCTTTCCGGTGGACCTCCATGGGACCTTATTTCGGAAAGATTATGTATTGAAGTCAATGGCGAGAGAAAGATGATCTTTCGATCCCGTTTGAATTGTGCCACAAATTACACATATGATGTTTGTCAATTTAAAAGATAATTTTACAAGTAAAAAAAATAAAAATGTGTCGTAAAACTGTGAAGTAACACTTTTTTTTGTGTGAACCGCTCAATGACCTACATCTCCCGTCTCGCACCACACACCAAGACGGCCGTCACGTTGGCACATTTCACTTCTTTCTTTCAGAATGAGGCGAAAAGTATTAAAAGAGGTGAAAATCACTACAAGTCTGGGCATGTTGAGAGCTGTACATACACACAAGGGGAGTTAGTCGGTTCATAAGAGCCAGCATGCGGGACCGGGATTCTGGGATTTGTAGTCTTTCTAGTTGCGTATTTTTCATAGTCTTATATTTCAACAGTTTTACGACAAACTGTGACTTTTTTGACATGGAAATTATTTTTTAAGATTGACAAACATCATGTGTAATTCGTGGCACAATTCAAACGGGATCGAAAGATAATCTTTCTCTCCCCATTGACTTCAATACATAATTTTTCCGAAATAAGGTCCCATGGGTCAGAAGTAGAGCGGCGGGACTTCGCCTCTCTATATATCACGCAGTCTGTCTTCTGGTTACCTCTTTTGAATGACGAATACACAGTACCGCTGCCTGCTGGTAAGGAGAGTTATTGCCACTCACGAATGCGCAGTTCGTACGTGCTACTTGGCCGTCGGCTGAAGTCTTTGCGGTGTGTGCCAGTGCGACTGTTTGGCCCAGACGCAGGAGACGTGAGGCGACACAACAGTCGTGTTCCATCGGGACGTGTTCTTTGGTGTCAGTTTGGTGTGTAGGGGCCTTAAAGTAACAGACAGAGAATCAGCACTTTTGAAACAGGGCTGAAACAGAGGGGATTCTGGGATGCTACAATGCACTGTTTGGTATTTCGAGCCAAACACTTCAGAGACCGGTTTGTATATATCTGAGACCTATAATATATTGATGAAAAACAGTATAATAGGGGACCTTTAAAGAGACAGCAAAAGGCAAAGCTTTTCACTCAAACACAGTCACGTTTCCACCCTGCAGGTTATGGATGGAGAGCTGATCACAAGGATGAGGACAGCTGCAGTGTCAGCCATCTCTGCTAAGGTAGCTCCAATTTTTACGAGCATCGATTCAAACTTGTTCTCTAATTTACACTCTTGTTTTAACTTAGACATGCTTTTGTTACGCAGCTGCTGATGTGTCCTGAGGCAGAGGTGTTGGCCATCTTGGGGACTGGCGCTCAGGCCTTGAGTCATTACAACGTCTTCACAGAAATGTTCTCATTTAAAGAGGTACGGTTACAACAATATATTTAAAAAGTCAGCCTGAACACAAGTATCAGTTGAGGGCAATTTAATATATGCATGATAAAAGAAGTGGGGTATTATGTCTGTGATTTAAAGAGGCCCTATTATGCTTTTTGGGGGTTTTCCCTTTCCTTTAGAGTGTTATATAGGTTTTTGTGCATGTAAATGGTCTGCAAAGACTACATTCCCAAAGTTCCCACTAGAGGAAATTTCTCTTTCAGAGTTAGATGAGAAGATTGACATTTATAATAACTTATAAAACTCTTATAATATATCTATGGTAAACAGAAAGCTAATGTCAATAGCTGCTTAGCTTAGCATAGCATAAAGACTGGAAACTAAGCAAAACAAAACAGTTAACAAAATCTAGCAGCTCTAAGGCTAATACAATGTAATATCATTGAATTCATCTGTATAAGTGTAAAACAACAGGTTGTATTGTTTCGGGGAGTTATTTGCCAGACTATTTGTTGCATTGACTTCCTGCATCCTCCCCACAGGTGCGTGTTTGGAGCTGCACAGGTCAGGGCTCGGAGAGGTTTTGCCGCTCAGTCAGCGGTCCGGTGACGGTGTGTGTCTCAGCTGAGGAGGCGGTGAGGGGCGCAGACGTCATAGTGACGGTAACCAGGTGTACAGAGCCGGTGCTGTTTGGGCAGTGGGTCAAACCAGGAGCCCATGTGGCAGGTGAGAAAACGTACTTAACACACACACTAAAAAAAAGGAAGACAAGGTGAGATTTCACACTTTTCTCTAACGGTTCTGGTTTCTTTCTGATTAGCGGTCGGAGCCTGCAGGCCGAACTGGAGGGAGCTGGACGACGTGTTGATGAAGGAGGCCGTGGTGTACGCTGACAGCAGGGAGGGGGCGCTGACTGAGTCCGGGGACGTCATCCTCTCCGGGGTCAGTCTGCATTGTGCTCTTACTGTCTCACATAACTGGCTTTTTGCAGAATTTGTTTTAATATTATTTGTTTTAGGCCGAGGTGTTTGCAGAGCTCGGAGATGTTATCAATGGGACCAAACCAGCCCTCAGAGAGAAGACAACCGTGTTCAAATCCCTCGGTAAGCCTTACTTGATTGTATATATATTTTGAAAAAGCTCAGGTTTGCAGAAATTGCCTACGTGACCTGGGAAGCAAGTCCTTCCCATAGCAGTTGACTGACAGCCTGGTCCTTAAGGAGTAACAAAAACATTAGAGCATCAGAAAAAGCAAAGAGATAAATAAATTACTTTACATAGAAATAGATGAAAGAAAATAGGGAATATAGAGAGTAATTTAAAAGAAATAAATACATTTTGATGAATTGTATATAAATACATATACACAGGAATATGTGCTTTTAATAATTATTTAATAATTTGTAATAGTTCTCTATATTGATATACTTTAAACTATATACTATACTTACATTTTATTTATTCATACTATATTTCAGCATTTACTGACATATCTATTATTTAATTTACTCCTCTTAAAGGTGGGGTAGGTCATTTTGGAGAAACCAGCTCGAGTGCGCTAGAATTTGAAAATACACAGCCGGAAAAAATCTGCCACTTCCTTACAGAGCCCCTCCTCCAACACACACGAACGCGCACATGACCAATGAGGGCACGAGATAAGTTTGTGCACAGATGGAAGGCTGACAGGCAGGTAGGCCATCCAGTTATTTTAGCCGGGCCGGCTAAAATGATTGGTCGTGCTTTTTACAGCGCTACGGCTTCCACAGATGATATTTTTTTATGGATTTTTTGTCAAAGCACTTAAGATATTCATTGCTATCGGGATGTTAAGAGCATTCCATGGAATATAACAAAAAGTGTATCTCGAACCGGTTTCTCAAACTTACAACATGTATTTTTGTAATATTTTACATATTTATTCTTTGTAATGGCTTTTATATGACTCCATGTTATGGCTAGTCCCTAGAGAGTGAAGTACTTACATTTCCCAACTTAATACATTAAACCTTTCTTTTTGGAATAACAGGAATGGGAGTGGAAGATGCAGTGTCCGCTCAGCTGGTGTTCGACCAATGGGAAGCCAAATCCTGCAAATCATGAAGTGGCCATCTATTTCAATCCTGACCTGTTTTAACCTTCTCTGAACTCTGGGACATTTCTGACATTTTATAGAATAAATCAGCAGTTTTTCAACCTTTGTCCCTTAAGACATGTCTGTAAATATGTGATTCCACTGTCAGCTGTAATGACTAAAATAAATATTCTGTTTACCCTCACTCATCATCTCTGCCATTGTGATCCTTATTTAAAGGGCACCTATCCTGCTATTTTTAGGCAATAGCATAGGTCTCAGATATATAAAAATATATAAAAAACATGTCTATGACGTGTTTTGCTCAAAATACCAAACAGATCACCCATTCTAGCCATGCCTCATATCCCTCTATTTCACTTCCTGTTTCAAAAGTGCTGATTTGGGGTATAAAGCTTTAATAAAAAAGGAGGGGGCTGAGCTCATGCGGGACCCGGCAGCTGTCTAAACTAGACTAAAATATCAAGGATTCTTTCTGAAACAGTATGGAGCTCAAAGGCTTTCTCTCTTGCCGGTTATACCACAAGGTGAGTTCCTTTTTATTTCCTGCTTCTTCACACACATGCTCTCCAGTACAGGTTAGCTCTGAGTGTTAGCGATGCTAATGTAAACATGCGTCGACCATATTACGTCCAAAACAGTCGGGCATTGTTTCTGATAGCAACGTTTCTGATAGGGCCGTGGGTGTAAAGCCAGCCTACATTTCCAATATTACGTCATATCGAACGCAAATCTGGATCAGCTCCGTTGTACCCGCGTTTTTAGAGATTTGGGTACGGAGGAAAAGAGAGGGTTTAATTTTCTGACGCTGCGTGAGTTCCCCGACACACCGGGGACACATAGTTATATATAAAAGACATCAAAAAGTGCATTTTGCATGATAGGTCCCCTTTAATGTATTCACGGTCATATTTCCTCACCACATGCTTTTTAACTTGAAATAGGACCGGGTTCTTCCATATATGTTCGTCTATAACATTCATTCAAGTCATTAAAATTATGATTTGGTTTACCCAAAAACTAGTGCATTTAGTATCAATGCATGAAGTAACAGTAACATGTTTGTTTCTACCTGACATGGGAATATTTGTACCTAAAAATATGAATTTTATTTTTTATGAGAGTGAATTATATTTAGATATTTAAAAATAACTAGCCTGTGTATTACACAACATTTTTATTTAAATCTAAATTTGGCAGTACATTCACGACCCACTAGACCAGGGGTCGGCAACCCCTGGCACGCGTGCCACCAATGGCACGCAGCACCGTAACCAGTGGCACACTAGGAATAAGTGGAATAAGTGTACAAAATATTTATTTTATTTTCGGATCCTGAACGAGACCGCCGCCAGAGCGCGTCTCCCCGTTACCTGCAGAAGGAAGCCATGCACGCAACGCAGCCCCACTCTCTTTAACTCCAGGCGACTTTCTGCCGCTTTCCTCCGTAATGCAGTGCTGATAGTTTCACCACAGAGGAAAGCACTTCACAAATTGCATTACCCATAAGGAGCTGTAAAAATGCCCCAGTTTTTGCGTGGCGATCGATATCGGCCGATACTCACTCTCTGCCGATCGATCGGTGCTCTCTAAAAAGGCCGATCGCGAGGCGTAACATACATGAAACTTTTCTCTGTGCGCGGCAAAACAAGCTCGCAAAAAAATCGCTTCACCAGTCTGGCAGTATTTTAAGGTGTCCGAAAATGACAATAAAATAGCGGTTTGCAACGTGTGTGAAGCAGAAATCCTGCAGCTCCACCCGCTGTGACGGACCGGTGAGCGGAGCAAAACACACAAGAGTTAGACCTAACACACTTAGCTATTTTATCTACCTTTGGAACTAGTTATACATATATTTATTCTTCACTGTCACTCATTACTGGATCAGTGAGCTGCATGAGATACTGACAGGCTGTCAGGAGAGAGAGAGAGCGAGAGAGAGGGGGAGAGAGAGCGCTTCCGCTCATTTCTCCCGTGTTATTATCCAAAGTTAATGTAAACTTGAATAATGTACTTCATTTGAATGTAACAATTATGTTGGTTGTTGTTTGTGGAAGCGCCAGTGAATGAGCCCCATTAACTGAGTTTTAAACATCACTTTTCACTTAGAATGGCACTTCATATCAAAAAGGTTGCCGACCCCTGCACTAGACTAAATAAAGAAAAAAAGCTCATCTCTTGCAGTCTTATTTATATTATTTCCCTGCACCATGATGCGTTTGAACAGAAATAACAAATCAAACAGATAATTTTAAATGAATTTATTTGCTTACAAAAAAAAAATCTGCATATTACTATGTGAAAATTAAAACATATTAAGTGAGAAAGTAAATCCACGTGTCCACTGCGCACTGAAAATGAGATTTCCAGCGGCTCCCCAGAGCACCCATGCAATTTGATCATTGCTCGTTTAAAAATAAAATGCATTTGCTTCGAAGCTACTGCTCATATTGTACAACAAGAGACATCCGTTACAACCTTGAGTGCACTGGCTCGTAGACTTCATGAAACACAGTAGTAGATGTGGTCAAAATCAACAAGAACTTAGTGAGAGTTTTATAATTAGATAGATTGAGGATGAAACGGCACAACAACACTGGCAGCGCTGCACCCTCACAGGCCCGACAGTTAGAAAATACTGCGTGTGTTCACATTCACCTGTTAGACGTCTAGCAGAGACTGCGTTTTAAATGCTTGTTACTTGTACAGAGAAATTAGTACTTAGTTTAGCACCTGCTACAACAAAGGTTATATGTCATTTAAGGATTTAACCGTGACTGCATGATGGTACCTTGAACAGGTTAGAAACTAAGTTAATAAGGAAGAGATATTTAGTGTCCAAGGAGCGACTACAAAGTGATGACCGTTGACAGCTGAGTTTTGGCAACATCTCAGTTTAGTCAGATGAAACATGTAAACAAACTGTCCAACAACCGCAGCTGAAAAGAAACTGACGATGGAAATTAGAGCTACTGAAACACATTTCTTGCTAAAAGTAAAATGTCATCAAGGCAGCAGGAATCTTGTAGTGTGTAGGGGAAAGAGTGCAATGCAGGACCCCCTTCTCTTAAGAGTTACATCTTCAGTTAATTCATGATAAAATCACATTCAAGTAGTGTTTCTTCACAACGTAGGAGACGGATGATGTGAAATGTTAAATCACCCTCTCCCTCACATTCCCCAAGGCCTAACAAAGTCACTTCATTCCTGTCGATCTGAAAGGACGATACAGATTAAAGCAAACAGAAACCAGATCTGAGAGAAAAACCTTCAGCGCTGCTTAAATCTGTGAAGTCCTTTTAGATGGAGATCTGATCTACCAGAGCTTCTATGTAAGCAAGGACACGGGGTGAATAGATATGTGGGGAACCCAGCCATCCTCTCCTAGGTAGGCGGGTTCTGACTGCAACTGTGTTATTCTACTCCCTGTGTTTCTCCCTTACAATATTCTGCACTTCCTCCTCCTCTTCTTGACGGGCGGGGGGCACAGCACCGCCCTGATGGCTTCGTCAAACACCGTCTTCAGGCCGCGCTGCGTCAGAGCGGAGCACTCCAGATACTTCACTGAACCTGGAGGGCGGAGGGGAGGAAAGCAAAAAGGCAGAGGGACAAGTCAGCAAATCAGTTTGTTTTTGTTTGCATGGCATGATACAACCTATTACATATATGCTTATTTTAACAATTGAGCAAGTGGCAAATGTCTTATATCACATTTGATGATGTTGTACAAGTATACCTTAGTACACTGTAAATCCTATTTTTCTGAGGGGGCATGAGTTTTTTCTAGAACAATGTCTGGCCTAACCCTAATTCCATATAATTGGTATCAGGAAATGGATTTAAAATGACCATAATGAGTAAACAAAATATTCAGAGAACAGCATGATTTTGCCATTTTATAATATGTTTCTTAATGCTCTTAGACCCCATTTACACGCAAACGTATACGAAACGCAAACGAACCGAATACGATATCAAAAAAGTCTTCCATTCCCACGAGACCACTCGAAAGCGCTGGAGACGCTATAGTACATATGCCGGGCCTGTAAGTGGCGCTGTACTTCCGCCACAAAATACACCAAAAGCAGCGAAGAAGACCCCCGAGCATGGTTGCCATGGTTGCCCTTCTGTTGTTCATGTAGTTCTTCATGTCTACTTGTTGCTGATGGTTGTGGTAGAGGAGCTGTAGATTTTGCACTAACATCTGTAGCATGGTCAGTAGCTACTGTCAGTAGCATGGTCAGTAGCTACTGACAGTAGCTACTGACCATGCTACAGCAGTGAGCAGCAGAGGTGGGGAGAGGCGGGGCTATGGCTTCATCGTTATCAGGAAATGATCGTATAGGACGTACACACTGAGCCCTTTGGCCCCCAGAGCGTTACGTTTGCAGATCTATCCACCTTGGGACCCGTTATCGTTTGCAGACTCCGTTTCCGTGTTTCCGTTACGGCCTCGTGTGAACGAACGGGCTATACGAAAGATACAACCATTTGCGTTCTCGTGTAAACAGCACCTTAATGTCTTTCATTTTTGTAAAGCACTTTGAATTGCATTGTGTTGAAAGGTGCTATATAAATAAACTTGCCTTGCCTTGCATTCAACCATTTCTCAAAGGATCTGAGGATTAATTTGTGGTGTTTCAACTCACTTATTTCTTTAGCCATGGCCAGGCCCTGAGGGTAGGTGATGGGGCTGAGCTTCTTCTCCTTCAGTTTCTCAATCGTGTCCTTGTCGTCTCTCAGATCCAGCTTGGTGCCCACCAGGATGATGGGCGTGTTGGGACAGTGGTGTCTCACCTCAGGGTACCACTGAGGGGGAGAGGGGGGACAGTCAGCGGTCGCAGGATGCAGTGTGGAATATTGAATATATTCAAAAAGGGTCATGGGTTATTTATTTATGACCGACACAGACAGTCTGTTTCTGCCTTTAAATGTGTACTTAATGGCTGAATATTTACATTAATCGCAACATGTTGAATGTCTTTTGCATAAAAGTATGCATATTGTCATTAAATCTGTAATTTTATATATTTTAAAATAAGGTTTTGTGAGTTATTTTGTATTTACATAAGAAAAAAGTAAATGTTTCAGTTAAGATTGTTGATTTGATTCAAAAATACCTATGATATCAAAACAAGCCCAGTCACTGTTACATTAATAGGTGTGTCAAAAACTGTTATTGTCTAATGGCTAGAATCCAAGATACAGCTGTCTTATTCCTCTACCAAAATGTAATGTAATTATGAAAAGTTATGAAAACTTAAAATTAACATTATTGGCCGATTTTATAAACTACAGGGATATAGAGCAGGTTTTTCTCACCTTGGCACGGACGTTTTCAAAGGAGGCCGGACTGACTAGTGAAAAGCAAATCAGGAACACATCCTGAGGAGGAAAAGGACAAACATCAAGTCACCATTAACACATTTTATAGCCACTGTGTAAGTGTTTAAGTTACTACTGGGACAAGAATACCTACATCTTTGACACTATGATGCTAAAGATAGCACACAACATTGACTTAATAGACCCCAAATGCTAAGACATGAGGGTTCACAGAACTAGACACTGTTGGTTAGATCCACACTGACTCTCGCTCTCAGCTCCTTGTAAGTCTCTGGCATAGAGGCCAGTTTGTTGTCGTGACAAAGAGCGCAAACAAGAGCTGCCTTTCACTTCCTGCAGACAGTGTATAGGTACTATGGATACGAGGCTCTACTCTGCTGAGTGTCTGAAGCATTTAAAGCCAGTGAATGACTCTAAATCAATGGTGGCAAAGTGAGAACAGTGTTCATGCTAACATTGTCTGGCTGATACTGGTCAGTGCACGGCAGCGGTCTGAGACGATGCTGTTGTTAGTGAAGTGTATGGATGTGTGTACGTACTGTCTGAGGGTAGGACAGAGGCCTCAGCCTGTCGTAGTCCTCCTGTCCCGCTGTATCCCACAAGCCCAGGTTCACCGGTTTGCCATCCACCATCACATTGGCAGAGTAGTTGTCAAAGCTGTAGGAGGGGGGGGGAGAGGATAAGCTATGAAAAATGTAGTTTAATGCATTTCAACAATTTTTCCTAAAGGATAGGGCTAGGCGATTATTCAATATGATAATTGTTTGTCTTTTAATGGAATCATATTGTGGTGAAGTAAAGTTTAAATTCATAAAAATATATACAACACAGAGCACATACTAACTCAAAGCTGTTCAATAATTTGAGAGAACATCAATTGAAGATTGCTGGGTGTTTTTCAGCCTTCATATTACCATTCAGTTCAATGGTCAAACTATAGTCCTAATCTGTGTGGCTGCATGGTATCATAGTCCAGTGTATAGCTGGACATATATATACTTTCTTTCTCAAAATGTTTACTTGAAACATCTTGCAAAATCTTGCTTCCTCAAGTTAATATTTGGCACAGTAGTATGGAAAAAAAGCTTTACCATTAATTATTTTGTACTATATGTTTATATAATCACCCAAAAACTTGCTATATATCAGGATATAGATCACTATCAAGATGTGAAATAACATAATAGGATAGAAGATTTCGGGTTGCCTAGCCCTTCTAACATTACCTAATATATACAATATGGTGAAGAAGAAATAAAGCTCAAAGACAGAACTGATTGCTGACCATCTTATCACAGCTGTTCATGAGAGGTGTGTGTGCGTGTGCGTGTGCGTGTGTGTGTTACTTACACTGTTGGGATGTACTCTCCAGGGAAGGCATTGGTAGTGTAGCTGATGAGAAGGCATGTTTTCCCCACAGCCCTGAGATTAGAAAAGATCAAAAGAGACAATACAAAGATGAGAACTAAAACATGCATTTTTACAGTATATTCTTAAGTGGAATTTAGGCAAACGCAAGTCAGTTTCTTAGTATGTGTATGCATATTGTATGTTTAACCTGTCTTGCCTGACAGGTTAAAAAGTCAGGGAGGTTTAACCTGTGTTGCCCCACTTGAGTGCAGTTTCTCCCCATTTTTTTATTCATGTGCAATATCAATATTTGTGCAAAACTATCATCATACGTGGAAACAATTATTTGTTGTAATTGTAGTACTTCCTCCTGTTGTTGCACTGTCCATTCGCTGCAGAAATTACCCTGGTAATTTCCTGGTTGTGGGACTCATAAAAGGTAATCTTATTTTATGCCTACACTTCAGATTACATCATCAGTGTATACATCAAAGGCTGCTTTAAAGCTGGTGGTGGACTTTATTGTAGTTGTGTTGACCAAAACAATATAATAAGTTGGAAAAACAAGTTGTTCCAAGGCCTTAAGTGACTTTGGTTAAGGACAAACGTACAAAGTGTGTGAAATGTCTCAATAGTGAAAAATGCAATTATTTGTATACAATGTTGAAAAGTAACTTAGTACAATACTTAAGAACAATTTTGAGATTCTTGTACTTGGATATTTTTATTTCATGCTACCTCATTATTCTACTCTAATTTGGAAGCAAATACTGTACATTTTACTTTACCCCGCATTTATGATTGAAACAGCTTCAGTTGAGAGTGGCAGGTTCATTTTATTAATGTGACAACTAATGATTTATGATGTACTATTATGGACTAAGATACCTGTAAGTATAACAAGTCATTAAAAGGTAGCTCCACCTTTGTTACCAGCAGCTAATTAAAAATGAAGTAATGGATTACTGATTACCATCCAGTGATATCATATATAATATTGCGAAAGCGGCCATTCTGCATAGGGATAGTAAAGTGCATTTACTCAAGTACTGTAACAGTACATTTGAGAGACTAGTACTTTACTTGACAATTTACTTCACTAGATTTATTTAATAGTAATACCTTTAGTTACTTTTGCAGACTTTAGTTACACTTTGATTAACATTCACAAGCTGCAGTATACAACTTAATTCAAGTTAGCTGTACCTTTAACATCTATTAATCAAAACCCATAATACATATTCATCTAAATTACAGCCAATCTGCATGATGAGTACTTTAACTTTTGGTGCTTTAGGTATATTTTGATGCCAATACTTTTGTACTTTGCAGGACTTTTACTTGTAAAAGAGTATTCCTACACTCTGGTACTTCTACTTTGACTTATATACACGATCCGAGTGCTTCTTCCACCACTGCTTCTTCATGGGTCGGGTTATAAAGCAGCTCAGTTAGCTGTCGACATGGCGGCCTGCGTCATGTCTAATAAATGACATGCTGTGACCCATCTAGTCACACCTAACCGGAGCATGTAGATAAATCTGTCTGACCCAGCTGGGCTGCAGAGCAGGCACAACAACAGCTGTCGCTCAACTTAGCATGTTATCTGGAGCTTCATAGCGGGTAGACAACTGTATGAAAAGGGGGTCAAAGACAGCAAACTATGTTATAAACACGAGTCCATTTTGGGCGTTTTGTGGGTTAAAATAAGGTTGAAAGGGTGGTTTTACGTCACGTTTCCTATGCCTTAGCATGTTATCTGGAGCTTCATAGCAGTTAGACAAGTAAGTGTATGAAAAGGGGGTCAACGACAACAAACAATGTTAGCTGTTGAACCGCTTTCTTATAAGCCAGTTTTGGGCGTTTTCTGGGTTAAAATAAGGTTACAAATATGTTTTTTACGTCACCGTACTCCACTATCTTTGCGTGTTTTCTGGAGCATGTTAGCCGTTAGACAACTTTTGGTAACCGGGTCAGCAAAAACTAACTATTTTAGCTTTTAACCGCTTTAATATGAGTTTAATTAGGATAGTTTAACTGTTTAAGGTTACAAATATAGTTAGACTTACCCGTCCCCCACCACCACACACTTAATGGCCTGCATTGGTCGCCTCTCTCGCTAGCAACCCAGCCAACGGTAGGTGGTTTCAGTTAGCTTATCAGAGGCTAACGGCGGCTAAAATAAAACCAGCCGGTGTCGCTTGGCAACGTAACCAAAGTGCCTTCGACTGCGCTCCAAAAGTTAATATAATGTCGTCGTTTAAGAAAGTTATCCAGATTGTGTGTCTTTCTCAGCAACACCCGGTGAAACTCCAAAGTTGTAATCCGAACAGGCAACACCCAGAAAAGAAAAAACTCAGGAGGCAAGATAGGGAGAAAAAAACGCCCACAGATGAGAGCTGGAGCTCGGAGATCACGGTCACATCCGGTGAAAGCAGGCCGGAGAAACACTGCCATCTACCGGTGACTACAGGAAACACACCAGGTGACAAGGCAACTCAGGTAGATCGAAAAGTTGTTTTTTCGATATCATGACATTATTGTGCAAACTAAGTAAATATTTAGAGCTATTTTTTTTGTTTACATTATTTTGCCAACTAAGTCATTATTTTGAGATACTAAGTCATCTTTCTGTGATACTAAGGGTACATACAAATACTAAATGTGTTGGATAAATTAAAGTTGGTATTTGAACATGGGGTCAATATTTAAAAGCAGGACTTACTTTACTGTACATGCAGTATTGCAAAATCATTCACTGCAGTTTCACATGTGACCACAAGAGAGCAGCGTTTTACTGTCTAACTAGGTTATGATAGTATCCAAATGTTACACACACACACACACACACACACACACACACACACACACACACACACACACACACACACCACACACACACACACACACACACACACACACACACACACACTCCACCCACACATACGTCACACGCACACTCACATACATTAGTAACCTTGACTCTGGATAATGTTATTGGGGGATTTTCCAGCAAACAACACATTAATAGGATAAACGTCAGCATTAAGTTGGTGGTAAAAGCAGAGGAGAGAGATTAATGAAGGATAAACCGGCCTGTCGTCGGCACATCAGGGAGGCTGTAAAACACTGTGGGACCTCAGGATGTCAAACGGAGAAAATACATTAAAGAGGATATCTGCTCCGAGGCAGTGTTCATGCATCTTCAGAAATAAATAACATGTTATAAAATTGTAATATCTCTTGAATGAGTTTCATAGACACATTTCTGAGTTGTCAGTATTACATTAAGTGCCTCCTTTCGGTGCAATACATCTTTGTCGTCATTATTTTCCAGGCTGAAATATGAATTTACTTAGCAATTTCATTTTTGCTTTTTGGACTGGAGCTCTGTTGATTGTGTTTGGAAAGGTTTTTCTGCTAGTCCACTTTTAAAGTTAAGTTTGGGTTATTAAAGAGACAGTTCTCCACAAATAAACAAATACTTTCTTTCCTCTTATCTATTTATCAAGATTGGTTTAATGTAAATTGCCGAGTGTAAGAGATGTCTGCCTTTTCTCTCATGCAATGAAACTAGGCGGCACTCTGCTTGTAGTGCTCTGAGCACCAAAAATATTCATTTAAAACTCAACAGTAATATATCTTTCAAGATTAAGAAATCATGACCTATATACACAAAACCCTTCAGAGACCTTGTTGAAAGCATTTCATGTAGGAACTATTTCTTTCGACTGAATTACACCCACCAATCATATCATCATAAAGAATGAAGCATCTACGTTAGCTTAGCATAAAGAAAATAAGGTTAATCCTAGCCTGTCCTTGGAAGGATTGGTACAAGAACTTCCTATAAGGTGATTCAGAAAGCGTTGCTATTATTTAAGTGAACTTTGTTTGGCGAGGCTTTTATTGTGCACTGTCACGCTCAGCTCTCCACCTGCCTCCCCGCCGCCCTCACCTCCCTCTCACACTGCCTTTGTGAGAGTCATTTTATCGCATCATTATGTTTAACCGTTAGCTCTCTAAATAATCACAGAGGTTTAATGACCCCTGTCATGGTGCTCTCATTTGCATAGGAGTCCGATTGACTGTCTGCAGGCAATCAACACTTAAATGGCAGAATGTGCTCTGTAATGGTATAGCACTCACAACAGAGGCCACGGGAGGCCTGCCATCACACAATGTGGAGTAAATAACATTTTTTAATGGAGTGAAAGCTAAAGGATGAGAGTATCCTCAAGTTATCGTCATAATTTCAGCTGAACTGAGAACATAAAGCAGATGTTGAAGCAGAGGTTGTTTGTTACTGCTACTTCTAGTTCCCCCATGTGATCAATGTAAGCCCCATATATCCTGCAGTAATAAGATCCTATATATATCTAGCACTGCTATGAATCATTCAGCAGCTCGAACCGTGACATCTGATAGATTTTTTTAGAGAATTCATCTCTGGAGACAAGTCTGATTAGAGCACTGCATATCTGATAAAGATAGAACGTTGATAGATAATGTGTCACAGCTGCATCAAAGGACAACTTTTTACCTCATTTATCGCTTCTCACTACGCATATACGATCATAAATGCAAACAAATACACCTTACTCTTCTGCTAAATGTAGCTGCAGATGGATTACTGAATCATCACCGGCCGAGGGATGCATAATGCCTGGTTTTCTCCTGCAAAATGTCACTTCAAGAGACACAAATTGACAAAAGAAAAGAAACACAATGACCTCAATGAGGCACAAAACAACTGCAAAAAGATGCAAATTAAATCTTAAATAGGAACAAAAAGACCATAACAGTCAATTACACAATATAACCAAAAAATACTTAAAATGACTATGAAGAGGCACAACATGACCAAAAAATAAACACAATAACCCCAATGAGGCACAAAACAACTGCAAAACAGGGCAAATAACCACAAAGATACACAAAACTACCACAAAGAGATGCAAAAAAACAACAAGGAACACAACAAATGGCATAAAAGTACTAAAAAAGGAAACAAAATGACCCCGATGTAACACAATATTGCTACAATACAGTCTGTAAATCTTGATGTTATGGACTTTTACATGTCTGTGCCCAGTGGCCTATTGTCTCATGATCCCCCAATGGCTGCACCATACAACAAATCCCATTTCAAAATGTCTCAGCGAAGGAAATTGATTATTTTTTATTGTGTGGAAACTGTAAAATGAAACTTGATGCTCCCTGCAAGCCTCTAACGTTCGACTGCGTGTTGATCTGTAGGGAAGGATGTTCAGATTGCAGCTTTAAAGACTGGCAGCAGACGTTAAATGTCGCTAAAAATACACTTTTGAAGCAGTCCTCCCTCTTCATGGGAAATGACATGCAGCAATTGCAGAGCTTTAGTCATCAGGTGGAAGTGGAGCTTCTGAGTGATCACTTATGTCCAGTCCCATTTATTTGAAACGCTATTTCTTTCTGATGACAACCACTTATGAGTCATTTCTGCATTCACATTCGATCAGATCTGTTCACGCTGTGAGGAGAGTCACATGTTGCTGCTGTGGATGTGATGGGAAGTTTCCCTTTGCTCCCAGCTGGAAAGATGTCCCACGCGTTTCCCTTTGTCCTCCCTCTCCTTTTCTGTGTGTGTGTGTGTGTGTGTGTGTGTGTGTGTGTGTGGTGTGTGTGTGTGGTGTGTGTGTGTGGTGTGTGGTGTGTGTGTGTGTGTGTGTGTGTGATTTGTGTGTGTGTGTGGTGTGTGTGTGTGTGTGTGTGTGTGTGTGATGTGTGTGTGTGTGTGTGTGTGTGTGTGTGTGTGTGTGTGTGTGTGTGTGTGTGTGTGTGTGTGTGTGTGTTTCTCTTTCTTCAGTTTCTCTTCCGTTCTTTACCGGTATGGCCAGCTTCACTCTCTCAGCCATTGTGAGAAAGGAAGTGTGACACGTTTCTGTGTGTTTGTGTTAGCAGGAATGTGTGTGGGACTGTTGCAGATGGTTTTCAGAGGATTCAGGAATTCCTCAGAAACACACCAGACTTTTTAAGTCCCGGCTTTGAGTATTTTCTTCACACAACACACTACATTTTCATAGGAACCCATAAAGTGACCCTTTACTGGTAGTAGACTGTCCTCAGTGACATTACAGATACATAGAGCATGTTTTTGTATAGTTTAAACACCAATATTTCTGTGCATAAAAGAGCTTAGTAGACGTTACATTATCAGCATGTCTCAATAAAACGAATCAGACTCGAATACAGAGGACTGAAGCTGCAGGGCTCAACATCTACAGTACCTCATTATTATGGTATGGGTCATGAGGCAGGTTATACGTGCTGCTTACGTTACTGCCAACAACATGAGCCAAGAGATTCTCTGGATGAATCCGGTCCCACGCAGCACAGGGTCACTTCCCCATGAGTGTGACAAAAGTTCATGGCATTGCATTTTGGGTGAGCCTGTTTGCAGGACATCAAATAAAAACAAAGGTACTGCAGATTTATAAACTCAAATATGTTTCTCTTTGTTGCATATTATATATAGCAGCTCTTTTCTTCAAGATTCCAGTTTGGATAACTTGTCTTAATTTTATTTTTCTCTATCAAGGTTTTTGTTGCCCCATATTTCCCAGAAAACCTCTACAACCTTTAGAGAGTAGAACTTATTATGTGATAATGATTGGGGATTTAAAGGGGCCCATTTATGGTCATTTTTAGGTTAATATTTGTATTTTGTACCTTGATGTTCAAAAAGCTCTGTACTGTTCTTATACTGCCTGTGCTGCTGCACCTCTTTTCACCCTCTGTCTGAAACCAGAGACCAGTCTGCTCTGATTGGTTAGCTGGCCGGCTCTGTTGTGATTGATCAACCGCTTAGAGATGCCCCACCCCTTAGCCTATCACGTACTATGTGTTGGAGCACTAGCCAATAGAAGCGCGAGTGTTACGTATGTAGTGATGTCACTTTGTTACAGAAGTAAACAAATAAGTCAAATGGAGGCGTTTCAGAAACTCCCTCTCGAGGGAACACAGGGTTTTTAGCCTTTGCAGAACATTAACATGCACTAAAATCTATATAACACACAACAGGAAAGGGAAAACCCAGAAAAAGCATGATAGGGCCCCTTTAATTCAGATTTTTCTTCACAAAGCCTCATGAGCCAACTAAAATAGCCTTACCCTACAGTTCTCACATGCATGCATACATTAGTGCATGTGCCTGGCTGTAATCAGACTGCTGAACATGCACATGGTCATCCATAATCACTCACAGGCTGGAGGTCAGTCCGTCTACTGATGGTTTTAATGCGGCTGACACATGCTGCATTGTAGTAACCCGCTTCCAGTGAAATATAAAGTGCATCCATCTAATGTTTTTTTTCTGCTGGCTGGAAAAATAAATGTGACTAACATGATGTCAGACCGAGGCCAAGTTTATGGGTCAAATATCAATCAAACAAACTCTTACATCTTCTGTTGTATTGTATTTGTTTAAACATGCCTTTGTGTCTTTGTCAGACAACGGCGTCATTTCCAAATCCTGATAAACACTGAGCATTGCAGATGAATTAACTCCAGACTTTTATTGATTAAACTAATTTGATTGTAGCACAGAGAAAGCTCTTGCTGGTCTCCACCCTTTTTTACTCTGGAAACGGAGCCACTTCCTGTGTTGCTCTGGACATCGGCACTCAACGCAGGATTTTTCCCAAAAGTGACAGCCTTCACTTCCCTCACACTTCTCTCTTTGCGAGCGTTTCAGGGAACCACAGCAGCAGAAATATTACAGAGAAAGAGAGAGGGTTATGAAGATGAAATCATCAAGTTTCTCAGTAAAGATGAAACCCACTGCAGGCGGGCCTCTGAGGGGGTGTGAGGAGGAATTTATGGGGGAATGCCGCAAATTAATTGTAAGCTATGGAGTCAGTATTTGTTTATGCCTGGAGCTTTTGAGGGAAAAAACATGTGAGACCATTTATTTTCTATTTTAGGAAAGAGAAACTTGGGTTACTGCAGTGTCATCATCAAGATTGAATAAAGCCGTTTTTATACATATAGAGAATTACGATGTGTAACATGTGATCAAATCATAAGACTGATGCTCTTTTTTCAAGCTAATTGATACTTAAAGCTTTAACCATGCCTACAACTTAAATGTTGGCCTATTGATAATTTGACCATGTCTGACTGATGAATTAAACCTACAGTCCTGTGTGCTTCACGCTTCAACCCTCCAGAAAAGACTGTAGACCAGATAAAAGTCAACATTGTGTGGCATTAGGCTGCCCTTAAATGGATGTTCTGCTCACATGGTTAAGGTTTAGACAAAGAGTTGAAAATTTGTTTTTTAACAAGGCAATAAACTACCCTGACTGAACCACACCCAACCCGTGGCACAAAGGCCCCCAGACCAAGGATGTTTTGTCCTGGTTGCCTTAATCGTGGCCCAAAAATTGCACTTTTTAGGTTCTCAGTGTAGTAGTAGTTCCTCTGATTTGCGGTGTGAAAAGTATCATTAATCTGGAAATACTAAAATAAAGTACAGGTAAATCACAATAGACGTGAGTGAAACTACTCAACCATTGGTAGTACAGTGACACAGGTCAGATCAGATTTAAAAAAAAATGAGGGTGGAGGGCAGGGCCATCACATCACTTCCTTTTCCAAAACTTTCTTCCATTGTCCGCCTGCAGCGCTGCACAGTTCGTCTCAGCACAACTCCCTTCCTGCACTCTGGACCACACACTGGCTCCAGCCTCACATCCGTCCCCACAGAACATCCCTGCTCCCGGGATCTTCCCTGGAAAAGAGGGATGAGCTCACATGGGCCGGGACACACGGGAAATGTTTGAGCTGTTTTATTTTTTGAGGTGTCTACATGCCTGCGTCACCATATAGCAAAGTAGGGCGGAGGTATGAGGTCAGAATCAGTGAGTTGACGTGCATTTATGTAAGGCTTCTTGAATAGGTTTACCAAAACTGTGGATGACAAATGAAGCAAATCATAACATTTGAAATACTCAAGTGTAAATGTATAATATTAAACAAAGTAATACAATGTAAAGTGATCATACTTGCATTAGGGACTGTGACAATTTCAATTCTTACTACAAGACTACCATGGCCAAAGGAATTCAAGATAACAATATTATCACACTATCTATACAAATGAATCAAACTCAAAAAGAGAGTGGATGGTGATAATCATATGTTGGTAACCGTAAATGTAAAAAAAGCATATCAAAACGAATGAAAAATTAAAAGTCAACCAGCATAAAAACAAAATATCCACAAAGCCTAACATCTGCCATTAATACAATGATGTAAAAATCACTTTTGGGGAGCAGTGCATGGACAGAGTTTGTGTGTGAGACCATCTCATATAATTAACATGAGATCAATATTTATTTTATTAAATATCAAAGTTTCATTTTATACTGTTGCAATATTATTAAGATAGATTTGAATGTATATTGATGGACTGAGTAGATGTATGAGGTGAATGAGTTAAATGTGATCCCAAAGCCCCCTGGCATGTGTCCTTATCCGTTTACCTTCACCTCATTGATTAAGGAGTTTAACCCCTCGCTGAACTGAAGGAGCCTGTCCTCTGACCTTAAACAGTAACCAAACACAAGAATCAGTGTTTTATAGAGTGTCTGAATAACAAATAGATCAACTCCAATAGTCTAACTTACATATAGCCTCTTGACTATGTGCACTGATTACGCTTTTCTTTAAAATCTTTACCTCACAATTCAGTCACTGTTTATCATGCAAAGATTTAGAGAGATCCCAGCATACAAAAATCCTCTATTTATTTTAGATTATAACTTTTAGTATCTATTAAAAAAAATGATGAATGCATGAATGTTTGTGCTCATAATTTGATATTGCTTCTCTTAAATACTTTCCCCACAACTAGCTCTAAGTGTTTTGTAATTTTCAGGGAATTAGTGTCTTTTTATAGCATTTTTTAGGGGAGTTTATATTGTCCAATTATACATTTAAATTCATAGGCTACAGTATTTTTGGATGTCATATATTGTAATTGAACTGTTTTCATAGTGTGTGTGTGTGTGTGTGTGTGTGTGTGTGTGTGTGTGTGTGTGTGTGTGTGGTGTGTGTGTGTGTGTGTGTGTGTGTGTGTGTGTGTGTGTGTGTGTGTGTGTGTGTGTGTGTGTGTGTGTGTGTGTGTGTGTGTGTGTGTGTGTGTGTGTGTGTGTGTGTGTGTGTGTGTGTGTGTGTGTGTGTGTGGGTGTTATATTAGCAGGGGGCGGGGCTTAGTGACGCCACCCTGCTCAGTGTGTGCAGACCGGTGCAGACTGGAGGATGGAGCACAGAGGGAGAAACGCTGCCGCTGCTGGAGCCTCACACCGCGGTCAGACCCTCTGAAAACCCGCTATACAATTAACCAGCTCCCTTTAATTTACACCCAGACTGCGGTTTTTATTTTTCTGCCTCTTTTCACATTAATTTAACCGCTGACATCTTGGCACCAGACCCCTTCATCTGTCTGTCAACACGCCGGCTTCGACTGTCTGTCAGCGGGGGGAAAGCAGAGACAAATCCCGCTGTAAAAAAAATCAAAATACATTTTTTTTCCAAAAGGTTTTCACCCGGACACACCTTCCTGACTGACTCCCCTGTCACTGCTGCCATCAACATGGATGAAGACAATCACGGTAAGGCTGTTTTTTGTTTTTCTGTCCCTTTATTGGGTTTCTTCCTTAGCCTGTGTGCACGGATGGATGGATGGGTGTGTGTGTGTGTGAGTCAGGAGGGTGTGTGTGGAGAATTAACAACCAGGATGTTTTTCTGCAAACCAGCCCAGAAAAACAACAAATCATGACATTATTAGAGCATTTCTCAGTGAGAGAGAGAGTCTCCTGCAGCTACAGAACCGTATCGAAATGCTGGAGTCATGGCAATAAAAAACCCAAAACACAGCATTTTTTTTTATCATGCATGCACCTTCTCCATCTGTTTGATGTCTTGCTGTAAGGCTTTGAAGTTGCTCTCACTATCTTGTTGCTCCGTTTGAAGCCTCTAAACTGGTGGAAAAATGATAAGATGGACTGGCAGCCTTCCATATGGAGGAGAGACCTTGCAGGAGCTACATCCTTTGATAAAAAACATACAAAATAGGTCCCTATTATGATATTTGATTCAGATAAAGCATGTTAAGGTTACTTCAAAAGCTGCAGATTGTTCCAAATATATGTGTGCAATGATATGGAATATTATAAATTAAGCAAACATACATTTAAATGCCATTTTCAGTACAGAAAACATGCATATTAACAGTTATTTTGACAAAAACATAAAAGAGGAAGTGGCTAGGACAATAAAGGAATACAAATATTGAGTTGAAGCTGACGGTTTATAAAGTCACATTGTGCTAAAATTATCCAAAGTAAATATTAAATCAAGCATAGAAAGTAAAAATCCAGCAGGTATATAATAAAGTATTTGGTGCCAGAGACCTGACTGTTTGATATTGTGATAAAGTGCATGAATTGAAGCCGTGCAGCTGCATGGTGCTTCAGGATTAGCGCTCGCAGCTCGGAGGCCCATATCAGTTATTATGTGTGTTCTGAAACACAGCGCAGGATGCTTATGAGCAGATAATCCAAACCGCCTTGTGGGCTGAAGGCCGTGAAGGCAGTGTAGTGTAAACAAACGGCTGATAACAGTTTGTCAGTTAAACTGTGAGAGATTAGCATGAGCCAGGAGAGACCCTCATCTGGACTTCCACTTTTCACCCCCCTCACAGTATTCTCCTGTCTGAACTGTCTCAATGAACCAGAACCAGAAGAAGTATTGCCTTGAAGTTGAAGTTGCAATGCCTGATTTCATTGATGTTAAAGGGGACCTATTTTGCTCATTTTCAGGTTCATATTTGTATTTTTGCCTCTACTCTGACATGTCTCCATGTTTTAATGCTCAAAAAGGTCTTTATAAACTTTACACAAGCAATATGTAATTCATCTTGTGTGTTACAGGGCAGATTTGAGTATGTCACCATCTCCAAATGTTGTTTGAGAATCTTGTTGAAAGTAATAATACTACTAAAATCACAGTGTAGAAATTGACATGTGTTCTCTTTGGGATTCAAACCATATCATAGACCATACACTTCCCCTTTATAGGTTGATCTAATCACTTGTTCCACATGCCATATAGCAGACCAGTGAAGAGATACTGAATAATGTGACAGGACGTCAGGGAGCACAGAGGCACGCTGTCTGTCTAAGATCAAACGGGAAACATACAACACATCCCAGAGAGAGATTGTGTGCAGAGTTGTTGAAATAACTTACCATAAATGTTAAAGTAATTAAGAGCTCTCGTTCGCTCACTCACACCCTCGCTGCGTCTCACTCTATTGCATGCATCACTTAACATTGTTCACATGCACACACCTTGATCGGCTGGTATCACAGCACGGGCACTTAGAGCTAAATCGGTCTCACCTAGTCACTTACAGCTGCTGAAGTCAAAGTGACACCTTCATCAAGAGCTGTGCCAATTAAAACAGTGACTAATTCAACAGCAGAAGAAGATACAACTCATAAACCGATATATGATAATAGTTTTTAATCAGAACATGCAGAAATTGGACTAACATGTGTCAGATTTTGTACACAGCAATGGGTCAAATTCATATAAAATCAACATTGAAATAAAATACAGATCAGGACATTTCAACAAAGAACATAATTGTCAACGTCATGTATTGGGGCTTTTCCGCTTAGTGGCTTTGAATACATCCATAGACAATCTGTGCTTTGTTGCTCTAAGGTGCTTTTTGCATGCCAACAATGGTTCACATTACCATCATGTGTGTGCATTAGGGACTATGGTATGTTCTCACGCTTGCATGTACAATGTGCGCAACATATGTTCAAAGTTGGGGCTATGATTTGTTCTGCACCACCGGACTAAAGAGGGAACAGATGCCATGATACTCTTTAGGATTAATAAATAGTATATGAACAGCTAAGGGCGCTTTCACAAGCCAACATTAGTGCCTTATAATTGTATTCTGTTGCAGACCGAAACAACAGGTCTGGTCCTTTTCCAAGTGAGTGCTTAAGGGTTTGATGATAGTGAAAATGTAATCCGACCCAATGCTGAAAGTTAACCACAAAGCAGGATTATTGGTATTTGTAAATGGTCTGTAAAGGCTAAAATCCCAAAGTTCCCTCCAGCATAAAGCATGTCATAATTTCACAGAGGCACCAGATACAAATATGAAATTCAAAAAGGGCATAATATGTCTTCTTTAACATGAATGGGAGAGTACTGACTTGGACTTCTGCATACATTTGCTCATCATACAGAAAATGCGGAAAAAGTCCACAGAATGTCAATGTTTATAAACTATTCCATGAAAAACTGGAGGAGAAAGGAATCTTTTTCATGTAGCGCTGGTTGATTTTTATGTTTACATTATCCACTCTGACGAATAACATAGATTTCTTTGGTTTGGTCCGCATTAAATTCTGCTCAAACCAGACTAAATAGAACGAACCAAGACTATTAATTTCACTCTGATTCGGACTAGCCAAACTGACAATGTCTTGTGAAAGTGCCCTGAGGCTCCCACAAGCAACCTCTCATCAGTCGGAAACAGTTAGTGGTGAGTAATCACAGTTACTGATTACACAGGGCCCCAAACTGAGGAAAGGATGGTGACGTTTCTGAACTGAGAAACCTTTTGTCAACCAATGGAAAACCTTCATTTGAGCATCATTGGTGGACTAACGGTGGAGTTGGACCAACCTGCACACAGCGACTATATTTCTAAACGTAACTTTTCTGCAAACAACAATACTGTGCATTATTTACAGTTATAGCATGGGATTCATTACTACATGTTTACTGTGCTTGCTAATCAAAGAAGGCGCTTCTCTGCTCCGTTTACATGCCACAGAGCAGACAAGGGCCTGGCCTCAAAATGCTCAACTCAGCAACAGGCTTAAGTGTTTTTATTACTCACGCGTCTATTTTTAGCATCTTTGTATAGCTGGATGGAGAAGTGGAAAGAACACAGAAGCAGACATTGGCTGGAAAGCTGTTCACTGAGTTGCTGGATGAAGGCCATGAGTTTTTAACACTTGGCATCCTTGTATTTTCTCTTCTTTATAGGAGCTTTGTGACGCTGTCGTCAGGGGATTAATATGGACTGGGCTCTTTGGGGAATTTTGGGTATTAAAACTCTTAAATTAATAGAATTCATTTGAATAAAGATGTCTGCGACGACTGAGGCTCTTAAACAAGCCGTACAGACGCCCAAAAATATGCTGAAATGTTTGTTAATGGGGTTTCCTTCACCATATTTCCTGCGTGTGTCGTGATAACCTCCGCTCTGTCAATCAACACTCTTCTGTCTATCTGAGCGTGGGAAAAGTTGAATGGGAAAGGCCTTTTCCTTCGATTCTTCTATTCTCTTTGGACTAAATGTGCGCTGAAATAACAAGTCGTATCTGACTGCAGCACTTACTGTTTTGTCTGTAGGCGCCTTTTTAATGGTGCACGCCTGGAAGTGTCTGTGTGCAGTGTCATGCCTTGGCTTTCTGATTGGAAATATCTCCCTAAGAAAGAAAAGAAACGTCTGTGTTTTCTGCTTTTTTTGTAAACATCTCCTTAAACTTACTGGACATTTGACTTAATTCAATTATTTCACATCACGATCACCCCAGCAGGCAGGAAACCCAAGCTTGGGTGGCTTTCTTTTGTGAAAACCTGAATCAACACACTGTATGTGTGATTTCTTGGCGCCTAGTGCTCTAGTTCTGAGGGGGATTAGCTGGTAAGAAGGGGAAGTTGGTGTGATTAGGGTACAGCCTTTGTTGTGGCTTTAGGGTGAGTGTGTGGGAGGACATCAGACAGTCTTTAGGGGCGAGCTGCGGCTGCTCTCCAGATATACCTCGCACAGGGAGGCTGGCTTATTGTAAGTGGTCGGAGCAGAATGGCTAGATGGAAGCAGAGCAGCTGTGTCTTTCTGCATCTGGATGTCTTATCTACCTAACCTGCTGCTTGTGCAATATGCTAGGTTAAATACATTAGAGATTAAGTTATTAGAGCATTTGTCGATAGATCAAATCAACCTGCAGCTGTATTTTAGCATAAATGACAAAGAACTAGACACTAGTTCCTGCTCAGTCTCAAGTGTGAAAATGTTTTGGTCTAACAAGTCAGCACGCTAAATATGAAGCTAACGCCAAGTAGCCAATAGCTTAGCTTAGCATAAAAGCTGGAGACAGGCGAAACAGCTAGCTTGGCTCTGTCCAAAGAAACAAAAGCACAACAAAATCAACAAAAAGTTTGTTTCATAACAAAATAAATGGTGTTACGGTTTTAATGGGGATGTTATGTCACAGACTCTTTATAGGTTTGTTACCTTTTATACGAAAAGTGTCCCTGTTTCCAGTCTTTGTGCTAAGCTAAGTTTCCCGGAGGCTGGCCGTAGCTTCATTACCGTAACGACATGATAGTGGTATGGATCTTTTTATCTACATTTTGGCAAAAAAAACGTATTTCCCAAAGTGTCAAATAATAGACCAGTGCAAGTACCACCACTGAGTATATCTTAAATTATAAATACCTTAAAAGCTTTTGGTTTTATGTGAGCCTCTTTCATACTTCACATCTGTTTTTTCACCTGGCTGCAGAAATA